GGTAAATAAGCGAAAAAGTGACACTGCTGTCCCAAACAAGGGGCATGAAGTCCTTCCTATAGCCTAGCATGGCAAACACACACAAGTGAAACATACCAACGTGAAATGGGAACAAATTTGCGGCTAAATTTTCGATGGCCATGATGGTAATGCATTGTTCAATTGAATATGTGGATAAGAACAGAGACTAAAGCGATAACTGAGTTACAAGTCACTCTGCCCATATAGAGAGCTTGCAAAGGATTGATAGTCCAGAGCACCTTCCGGACCATCAGGGTACGGTGACATCAGCTGCAGGCAGTACTCAGCTTGATCTGGTGGTAGATCACCACGAAGCTGATCCTCGGTGATATATGGCTGAGAAAAACAAAACAAAAACAAAAAACAAGAAATTAATTACACGGCACAAGTAAACAATGGTAAGACATTACTCATAAGTAAACAATAGCACTTGACTTACCAGGCATCGTGCACTTTGGATATTTTAACTTATTTTCGTTCATCCTTGACAGTTTGTTTTCCATTATTCAGTTTCTTAGTGCGTGGTGTAAGAAGACACACTTCCTGCCATCCAGCTACCAAGCGAGGCAGTAGGTCCTTTAATAAACGTTGGGACCGTACAACCCCCGAAATAGATCAGCACGACAAATCTTGGCGATACGCTTTTCAAATGATACGAAACTGTCTTGCACAATCTCTCAATAGAACAGCTATGAGCACCCAACTCGGGGAAAATGCATTAAAATATGCCAGTTGTGCTTGGCACACACATGATAGCACAACGCCAGCAAGCAGCGGCGGTGGCAGCAGCAGCAGTGGCAATATTACCTTGTCACCAGCGAGAATCTTGAATGACTGAAGCACCTGCTCAGCACTGTCCTCGTCAGTGGCCTGGCGAGTCATGAAGTCCAGGTAGGCATCGAACGTTACCCGGCCAGTGTCATTAGGATCAACCTTGCGCATCATCTCGGTCAGATTCGCCTCCTGATCCTGTGAAGGTAGTAGAGTACAGGAGAGACAAACCAAAGAGTCATTCACAGCAAAGCCTGGGTGAAGGTGATACAAGAATCACACATCTGCAAAGGCATTGTCCCAGTTTCATGCTTTGGCTCTACTTCGTAGTATGAGATGACACAATCGGCTATGTATGTAGAGAGTGATTGCAACACAGTTCTGTACTCACATCGCCATGGCCCAGACTAGTTCCCAAGCTGAGCAGACAGGCCTTGAACTCGTTGCGATCAAGCTCGCCGGAATGATCCTAAACCATACACACACACACACACACACACACACACACACACACACACACACACACACACACACACACACACACATGCATGCACGCACGCACAAGTGCACACACGCACGCACACGCACACACACACACACACACACACACACACACATACACACACGCACACACGTGCACCCACATACATGCACACAGAGACAAACACACATGCACACACATGAACACACAAACACACAAACACACACATTGTAACAATCAAGTCACCGCTTTCGTTCATACACACAGCGGTACTTACAACAGAATACTGTACAAGGGCTATATTGATACACAACAGTAGCAAGAGTAGAATACAAGCAAGAGTACAGTCATGTACGCATAATGCAACACCTGCTGCACAGTCATGTGTTGGACTCCGGCGGCAATCCAAAGCATCCTTACCATTCTAGGAAAGGAACATGTACATAATTAGTTCTTCATGTAGTATAAGTATATGGCATCGGAAGCATTAGAGATAAATGCAGGCATGCGCTCAGGAAGTGCATGGTTATTATCTAGGTTACGAAGTCAGAAAGGAAATGATGACAGGGGAGGGACACCTTACCTTGTCAAAGTGGTTGAACGATTGGCGCAGTTCCTGAAGCTGCTCCTCCGTCAGACCCATGGAGTCACGCGTCAAGATCTGGTTCTCAACTGCGTTGATGTTTCGGCTAATGGCAGTCTTGAGTTGCTGGTATGTTACGCGCAGAGTCTGCATACACAAAAAAGATCACAGATAGATCATGAAACGACAAACAACAATGGTGTCTGACCTATGACAGGCATTCATGGTTAGCAGGTATACATCCAACCAACAAAAACATCTCTCTATCTCTATCTCTATCTCTATCTCTATCTCCCTCTTTCCATTCCGCTCAAAGCAAACTCAGTTTGGCATTGCACATAAACAAGATGACAGTATCATCACACATACACCAGACGCAACTCACATCCATGCTGTACTCTGTATGGGGGTTGTCAAACACGAATGCCTCATGGACACGCTGGTTGGCTTCCTCCAGCTCCTCCATGTTTGACGAGTACTCGGCGGCTTTCGTCTCCTCGGCGTGGAGTGCCTCAAGATGCTCCTGCAGCGAAGACAGTGAAAAGCACAATACATCAACAGGTACACAGTGCTCGTAACCTTGGATACCGTCAAGGCCCTGCCTTACACAGTGCTCGTAACCTTGGATACCGTCAAGGCCCTGCCTTGAAACCGCGGCAAATAACTGTGTTGACGCAAGATTGCATCAATAATTGGTTGGCTGTAGGAAAAGTTATTTCGGCAGACTTACAATCCACATAAACACAAACCGAGGCCGCGAAGTAATCACAACTTAGGGTCACATGGATACGAGTATTGCAGCAAGTAGTTAGAATTCTTTCCCAACTGATCATCAAGCTGCTTATGAGTGCAGTGGTCTACCAAGGTACACGCATTTACACGTATGTGAACGGGCAGAGTAAAATGGTGCGTACTATTGAGGGCCCAGAGTAAAGTGTGCAGTCACTCGTTAAAACGTTACATTCACTTCCTCTTTACATTCACTTCCTCTTTATACTTACATGTCTCACAGTAGTTCATTCCTGTCTCACCACCCTCACCACCCTGACCACACTGACCACACTGACCACCTACATACACCACCCTGACCACCTACATACACCACCCTGACCACACTGACCACCCTCACCGTCTGCATACCAGGTACATACACCACCCTGACCACCGGCATACCATGTACATACCTCTAGAGAAGCAAAGTTCTGCAGACCAAGGTTAGCCAGGTACTCGGTCTGCTCTTCCAGCCATGGGCCAACAAGGTTGGCTTTTTCCGCAAACGCCAGCCGCAGCTTGTCGTGCTCCTCTTGCCGTGTCTGTTCCTGTGCTAGCGACTCGTCACGCTGTGGCACCAACGCCAACACTTCCTCCCACTTGGCGTTGATGTCCTGTAATCAACAACGATCACGATCACACGATTAGCACTGCTGCTGCCGCTGCAGTCGCATGGTAAGTACACCTAAGGTGATGCTCTACCGTTCTAGTTGAGCTAGGTGTAGAAGCATAGCCACCCAACACACAACACACAACACCCAACACACAAGAGCTGGAGACTGAAAACTACACAGTACTAAATTCCAAAACTGAATCCAATCATCCCGGACTTGCATGGATTGTAACTCACCTCTCTAGACAGGTTGCTGTAGGGGTTCGGCTTGTCTCCACCTCCGAGTTGGTCGATCATGTCAGCTACTGCTATCAGTCCGCTGTACTCGCTCTCAGCCACTTGGATGTTAGCCTTGAAAGCATTGTGCGCATCCATCAGGTCCTACAGGTACGGATAGGGAAAGAATGCCACCGTGTACAGGCAGTTCATTGACTCGGCACTAGCAGAGCTGACCGTGAACAAGACAAGACAAGACCTCTTCACAATATCCCCATCAACACACTGAGCACAGTCACCAGTTGGATTGGGGCATGGTACAAAGCCACTGGACCTCACTTACCTGAGTTTCCTGCACTGAGTGAACATTGAATACGTCTTGCAGTTCCTCTTTCGCACCATCCATCCAGTTGTTGAAGGGCTAAAGATTACACCGCACAGCAGAAGAGATAATATACAGTTGAACCCTGACATACAACACATTAAAACATACTGTCACATACCGGTACACATGTACTGCATTTCAATTGTTATTCAGTCATCAATGATCATCTTCGGATACCGTATGCAGTGGAACAGAGGGGCATAGCAGACCATACAGTACTTACCGCTGCCTTCTTAGCGAAGTCAAGGCGTAGCTCATCCAACTGAATTTGAAGTTGCTCAGCTTCCTGCACAATGCACATACATGCCCATCACAACAGCAGAGTGAAGCAGTCAAGGTCAGACTGTACAGTTGCATATGGTTGTGGTCCACGGCGCAGCAATGCGCGCTCAACATGCAGCAGCCATGCAGCGGGCCATGCTGGCAAAGAGGTAGCACACACACACACACACTGGACACTACACGGCAGAGAGCATTGAAAAGGCTAGCTTACCGCCAGAGTCTTCATTCTCTGGTCACTCAGATTACGCAGTACTTCCCAGTTGTCGCTGATCGCCTACACATGCAACAGCACACGATACACAGGAGACATACGGGTAGCTTCAGCCAGGAATAAACCAGTATGCATTGCACATCCGAGTATGAGTACAATCATGTACTACTTACTAGCAAGGGATCGTGAAACTCCAAACATTTCGTTTTGGGTGTGCCTGACGGCAAGGCCTCATATCACAGTAAGGCGAGGTGCGGCGTTACGCTAACTGGTAGCATCATAATCAGCATGAATGCAATGTGGCCCGCATCGCCAGGCCTCATGGATTCAATCACACAACAAGTCATCAACTCCAGTTGGTGAGAGTTCAGGACTAGTCTGCTTCCACATGATCACTATTTCTGAATGGTGCTTACCTACCCAGTATTTCTGAATGGTGCTTACCCACCCAGTATAACGTTACTGACATGATCCACTGTGATACTTACAGCCATGCGCTCATTCACTTCAGCAGAGTTGAAGTAACCCAATGATCTAAACAACGCCGGGAATAAGAAATCAAGAACGTGGAAGGCAGAATTATATAAACTGATGACATGCCCGCAGCCGTCGATTCGCAGCCCACAGAATTTATAGCAGACAATTCAGACACCTGTCCGTCTCTCTTTCATGTCGTAGCAGCTGGACGTAAGCAATTCTGACACACTCATAGCTACATGTATGTACAAACTTACTCGAGTTCCTTCGCAATCTGTGACAGCTGCTCAACACGGTCTTCGTGCGCTGCAAGATCGCTCTCGAAAGCTTCGTGTTGCTTCTTCAAAGCCTACAACATACAAACGCACAGACTCAAGGTTAGGACTGACCGATCCATAGCACCATAAATTTACCTATACGATAAAAGGACGTGCGAACACAGAAAGGTCGAGGCTGCAAAAACCTTGCATCCAGTGAGCACTTCAGCCGTCTCAAGTCTTACCAGAACTCCAGCAAGGTTGACTCCTTCAATGTCATCAGCAGTAAGGCTAGCATCCTTGCCGCTTGTCCATGACTCATGCACCGCTGCCTTGTGCTGGAACTTTGCAGCCAAATGCTCAAGCCGCTCTAACCTGCAACAGCAAGACAACAGAAGGGTAGAGAGATAGGAGAGTATCATCCCACCATCCAATTCTATCACGTGAAGTGTAACTATGGACTCATAGCAACATATTTGTAGTACTGGATATGTGATAGTGTGTGCACAGCCAGTCATACCCAACAAAAGTCAAACCAATCATAATCTCTACATGGATTATCCGCAACTGTGAAGCATCATTAAGTATCATTAAGGCGAGTCTGCAACTGAGCTTGACAAAAGACCTCACCTGTTGATTTCACCCATTAGAAATTCTTCATATGACTTCTCAGATGAGTCCAGGCCCTTCCAGGCCACGGCAATATCCTGCAAAAGAGGCCAACCAACAAACACATGTACACATGTAAGGTAAACCATTACCAATGCCCCAATGAGTTCATTCACACTGCATGTGTGTGTGCACACAGGCAACGCAAAGAAGGGACGAGGCTTCTTGGAATTCCCATTTATACCATCAGATACTAATAGCATGGCTTGGTAAACATGGTGAGGCCCACTCATCGTGCTAACTTACGTGAATCATGCGTCCTTCGCTGGGCATGTAGGCAGGACGATTGCTAATACGAAGTTTGGTCTGCAGGGTGTTGAAGTGGGCCTCAAGGCGACCCTTCTCCTCGGCCTTCGGAGGCTTCTGGTCAGTGCGATAGTTGCGGAACTCGTTTAGACGGTCCTGAGAAAGAACAAACAGCACGTCTTCTTTAGAAACTGCACGAAAGACTACAGATCACTGCCAAGCTACGATTACAAACAGGCATGCTACCAGCAGAGTGGCAATGATCACTGTGCTGCCAAACATCACACAATACGTATCGTTATGTCGCTTATGAGAGTGGCCTTCAAAGTATTCCTGTAGCAGCCGATGCCAGGGCTAGAGTCCTATTTTAATCAGGCATGTATTCAAATCAGGTAATTCAGTGTCTGTCAATGCTAAAACCAGGCTTATGTGTCGACGATCAAATCTTGAAAAATCAGGCTTGCATACAAAACAGGATTCTTTTCGAGACAGACATTACGCTGCAAGACAGTGTGGTTTGTTCAAAAGAATCTGACGAAATGCACTATCGCACAAAATATCCGTGTTGCCTTTAAAATTCGTATTGAATGAGCAGACCGTCCAGGTGTTCACATGGCAATAGTATGATGTCATGCTGTGTATAGTATGATGTCATGCAGTGTATAGTGTGATGTCATGCAGTGTTGTCCTCTTATGTAACCTACTCTTGCAGCCTGCAGGGTCTTTTCTTGTGTGCGGTCTCCCAGCCAGGGGACGACCTGCTGGATCCACATTAGCAGCTAGAAGGAAAAAAAATAGAAAGAAGAAAAGAACAAAGAAACGCATGGTAAATCAAACCCATTTCAGGGAGCTTCCTATCAGTTTTCAGGAGCGCCAAGAGCATTCACTAAGATAATCTTTCCTACAGATTCCTTCCGCTCTATGCTCCATGAGATGAATAGTTTTGAATGCTATATGCAGCTACTGTACCCGGTGTGCACAAACAGGAATTCGTTCGTGGAATTGCAGGAGTGGACCCAATCATACATGCCAAACGTCCAAGGTTTTCCGGGACAGACCAGGGAAAAGGGGTATTTGTCCCGGGGTCCAGGGATGTCCTGGGAAAGTCCAGGGATTGAGATGGGACTTTTGAAATCGAATTTCTCCTTTTTATGATGCTTTTTCAGTGTTTCATCGAACTTCTAGATCCGTTGTAAGTACACACAGCACGTGGTAGCATGTAGTAGACAAAAAAACCTTGTGGAACTGCAACGAATTGCCGGTATACCGGTAGTCAACAACAAGTTTACTTGTGCAGTTGCAGCCCAATAGAATCACATCCCTTTTGCTTAGACAGCAGTCATGAAAAATACATCTGCTAATGATGGATGCGCTAAAAAAATTGGTGTCCAGGGGAAACGGTCGAAATCAAGGGAATTCAGCCTCCTTGTCCAGGGAATGCAAGCCTCCAGGTTGGCATATATGCCCAATCCAAATTGAAGTAAATGTGAGAACAATAACCCCGGTGGTAGCACAATGCTGTAATTACGTTGCTTTCATGGTCCTCTAAAGACAGTGGTTATCAATAGCAACTGGCTTGACCTGATCTACAGGTGTACCAGCAACAATGAATGGCTAACTTAATCAGATCAGGCCATTACGAGCTGACAACAAATAACTCTGATAGCAAGATGGCAACAAGTTCGGCAGGCATATGGCACACACACAGGCACGCGCGCGCACACACACACACACACACACACACACACACACAGAACTTACTTCGCTGGCAAGGCTTTCATACTCGTCCATCAAACGCTTGTTCTCCTTGTTGATGTCCAGGACCTTTCCAATGCGCTTGGCAGCATTCTCGGCCTGATAACGAGGTGAGAGGAAAGGAGATGGCTTTTTGAATGTCATCTTTTGAAACTACAATCCGTACTCATCACAACAAAGACCTTGAAAATAAGGTCTTCCATTCGAAATCTGGAAACAAAGATGGACTGTGATCGAGGAGACAAGACTGTGGTGGCTTATACGCTAACGAACATAATAGTACAGGCTGCCATCAGCCCCAGCCGTATCTCTTGTAACAACAGGTCTGCACTTGGTGGTCTCTTTTCACTCATCTTTCTCACTCATTGCAGTGGAAATTAGGTGTTAAACTGTTCCCTATTACGAATACTAGTACAATGATACAGTCTTCACGCCATAGTGTAGCAAGTGCATCAATTTATTCATGCCCCCGGGGCTGGTGACAGTGGTGTTGGCTGGCAAGATTGTGGCCACACTGGCCTGCCTACCTGCTGCGAGCTTGAGAAAGCGTGGTAGTACGCAGATACATAGGTCATCACGGCACGCTCATCTGGCTTGACCTGGTTCAGCATGTCTGTCCGTCAGAGCAATGGCACACAAGAAGCAAGTCCAATACATTCAAGCGGCTTCAAAGTACAGGCCGTGTAAGCAGCACAAGACCGCACAATGCATAACCACAGTATCATACTGTGTGCAATGTAAAACAAAACAAAACTTCATGATGGTAGTTTGGTGGTGGTGGCGCTAATATATTTCATAGGTGTCCCCATTCTTGTTGTTAGCTCGATCACCCACTCACACCTTGCCATCATACAGTCTTGTCCTATATGCAAAAATGCTCAAAAGGAGGCTGGGCTGCCTGTTTGATGTTCCTGTGACACAAAGTGTTAGAACCCATAAACACATAACGCAAAGTCACAATTGTCAGACGATAGAAACCTAATAGAGAAACCAACCTTCAACATCCAACATCTGTGGGATGTCGAGGCTCTTCTCTGCAACTTCAAATGCCGTCCTCAAGTTTTGCTCCGGGTTGTCCTACAAAATGAACAAGGTTAAAACAAAACATAACTTGCCATGCAGAAGGAGCTATAGCAAAGAAGAACACAGCTTGGAGTACACAGAGTTCACAGCTGTGATTTGAAACTCACCTCAGCAACCTACATTGCACATGCATTTAAGACACATTGTGGCAATGCCTGTAATTTACACCAATGATACCCTAAAATAAACGGTGGAGTAAAGGTCAAATGAATCCCTGCCATGGCTCACGCCTGCTAGTTGTGCGGGACCTTCAGCACTGGCACCGCACCACAGCTAACTGCAAACCGAGGCACACAACCTCAACACCGTAGTACGCTAACTGCAAACAGCATCGCACACAAGCTGACCAGCAGAACACAGCTGCACTGAACACTAACCTTTCTCAGTGACTCATAGTCGATCAGATCGGGACGATGGCGGTGAATCAGTCCACAGAACGCCAGTCCATCCTTGAAGCTGCACAAGGTCAACAGCAGAGAACATCCAAGATCAGGTACCAAACGCAGGCACATAGGCAAGACTGTGAAACAAGCCAAACCAATAGATGTGTACAAACAAAGGGGGGTTGTATGATGACTCCCTGACCTACTGGCTGCATGCTTACAGCAATCACATGTACCCTATACATGTACCGAATATACACACAATCACGGTCACACCTTTCACAGTCACATACATGTACATGCTGTGTGTTCGCTTATCCTGTTCTCTCGCCTATCCAGGTATTATTTCAGATATTACCTAGTCAAGATATTATTTTAAATTTTTCACCGCCCACGGCCGCACATAGTCCTTGGCTACAAAAAAAAATTAAAATCTCTCCAAACCAAACTTCAAATTCCTTTCCAAGATATTATTTCATATATTTATTTGCGGAAAATGGATGTGTGCGGTTACGCAAGGTCTGACAGTACAAAAATTAATTATTATGACAGTTCATGATTGTTCATGATTGTTCGAGGTGCTTTGTATCTAGCAGTAGCAGCAGAGGCACCGGTTTGCGCAAATCAAGGCACATGTAATATTTTTTCAAGGATCGGGAGAACTTCAAACCTCAAAGTATCAGTCGGGGAAGTGACCTGCCTGAAAAGAGTGGAGTGAAACACTTGTCAGCGCCTTCTAGTTTGGCCTGGTTTCGTAGCTCAGATGGTTAGAGCATTGCTCATGACAAGCAAGGTCCCGGGTTTGAGGCCTGGTGTGATTGGCATTTTTTTCTCTTTTCAGGCAGTTTACTTCCCCGACTGATCCTTTGAGGTAAATGCAATACAAAAACATAAACGACGATGTCATTCTCGTAACCTTCTGAAATTGCTAGCATCCAAAACATATAACTCCCAAGCAAGCAGGTCACCGCATTGTTGAACAAAGTCAATTCAACTAACTTGGAAGCTACATGTATTTCTGGTTATCGTATACATGTATATGGTTGTGCTTCTCAACACAATTGTATAGCTGGTGGTAACTCGGACGTGTGAACTTTGTTTTACTGTATATACATGAATAGGAGCAGTGTGACCGCCAGGTTTACGGTTTCATGCGCGGTCGTTCTGGTTTGCAGACATGTTGAGTTTTGTGATTGTAGGAGTGTGAAGGGCTGTGTTGTACAAACAGTCACGTGCTGTAAATGCTGCCCACCATAGCTAGAAGAATATTGGTGAGTTTACTGAACAACCACACACCACACACCACATGAATTCGGAAACACACCAGCAACGAAGTCAATACTTGCCCAAGTAACTGCTTATAATCACCACAAGTATCATTTTCTACAGCACAAGACACCAAGGTTGCCCAGCAGTACAGTAGGCGAACATCAGCACTACACTGCAGTCAACACCATCACGCTTGGTACCCACACCCAAACAAACAGCTAAATGATGATGTATAGGACTGGTGTAGATCTCATCTGTCAGTTCCTCACTTGCAACGAAAACAAGGACAGCAGTCGCCAACTGACAGTAGTGACCACAACTCCACGCGCCACTACAGACGCTCTGCTCATAAGGCAGTGGCGACAGGAGAGCACGATGTACACGTAGCAGTAAACAGATGCAACAGCCTGACAGTCGACACACGCCACGGAAAGCCAGCAACAGTAACTGTTGTATCGCTGCCATCTTCTCGGATCGCACACCCAAGACACACACGCGCGCAACGAATATTTCGGACGCACGCCGATGACGTACTCGATGGGACTACATAAGGTAAGTGTACGGGCGCCGGTCGATCTATCAAATGCGGAGTACTCGTAGATCTTCTGTACCTTTTCTTCGCGGGATACTACTAGTACATAGTCACTGAAAGGCCGAAGAAACAGAAAATGAAGGCCACATCTTACGCAACTCTACGAGCCCCAGCTCTAGTACCTAGTACCGCACCCAACAAGCTGAAGCGACAGCTGATGCGCTCGTCGCGTCGTGTTTTGTGGAGTACTCGCCACAAATCTGGCACACCAGTCGAAAACAGCCGTCGTTCACGCTCGAGCTACGCGATCAAATCCGGACTTGTTCAATGGAGCGCAAGACCGGAAACAAGGCAGCTCGCGGGTATGGGATCTGTAGTGGCCATACTAATGCCAGTAATGGTTGCGGCAAACCCACGTCACTCCCGTCCAGAAGCAGTGTGCAACTGGCACAGCTCTGGAAGAACTACTACACTGCAGTAGATAGTACTTGTCTTTCGTTGGTGCTGACATACTAGTACTCTGGCCGGATTCATTCAACGCAACGAGTACGAACACATACGGAAATCACGGATGGTAGCAACCACCAGGGCATGTCGCAGTGTCTGCACAGAGCCCTGGTACATGCTACAGAGCAGGGACTGCCAGAACCCACCTCATGTGAAAATTCTGCACGTTGACGTTCTTGTATGGCTGTGTCTTTCGCTGGCACCACAACAGAAGACCTTCCTTAGCCGTCATCTCTACAACACGCAAAGAAATTTCCAGCAAAAAATGTAATTGAGTGAACACCCACAAGTACAAACATGCAAATCCATGAATACAGGAGGCAAATCCGGTGCCTCCAGCATGTTGTAGCAGGCCAAAACGCCGAAGTCAGGTCAATGAACGATCAGAATAAGCGTGTACCGCCTAGTAGGGGCAGTGATTTTAGCGTTGCGAGGAGTCGAGGACGGCTCACAGCTCATCTCGCTCACAGCTGGTACAATCCTGCGCAGCATTTTCCGCGCGCGCGCACCACACCACACACACAAGCAAGGCATGCAATGCACGCCGATTTATTCCAAAGCACACATACAGTAAATGCAAGAAATCGTTATACACAATTACCTTCTACTGAGATATCCTGGATGGCGAATCGCAGAATGATGGTCCAAATCATACCTAGCGTCATCTTCAGGTTTCCGTCGACGATTTCTGCACACATTAGCACACCACGCCAAGTCATAGAAATGGTAAAAGAACAGGACTCGGTAAAGGAAATTGTTCATCGGATACCCCAATTCACTAGCCGGCAAAACATGTACACGCAAGTCACGGACGTCTTTCCTACACGGACCAACATAACAAGCTCGCGCCGTGCACACATCGCTCGCCACACTAGCGAATTGCGCCACGCCAGACGAGGAAACCCATAAAAAGTAGAAGTGAGAAAGATGCTTGTGCATTCTCAACACACACACCTTCGGCACCGATGTTGGCAAGACGCACGCCTTTGGTGGCAATGAAATCCAGAGCCTTGTTGACATTGGAGACTTTGTGCACGCGCATTTTGCCCTTCTCGGGACGGGCAAGCTTATCACCAGAGATGACCTCCAGCAAGGCGAGGAGCGCCTTGCCATCATTGAAGTCATGTTCGATCTCGGCAATCTGCAGACCAAGTTTTCTGAGATGAGAGTTGACCCAAGCGGTGAATGTCTAAATCCCCCAAAAACAGGAAGAAAAAAAAACAGAAACAGAAACACAGCAATAGTGCCGTCATGAAAATATCGCCACTGGCACAGCATGCGTGCCAGCAGTCTGTTCAACGCCAGAAGGACAACAGTGAGGACACTGCCTGCATCACCAGTCCCTATGGGCGATAGCAAAAACAAAATTTTCAACCAGTGGCAGCGAGTAGCCACAAACTCGCTCACCTTCTTCTGCTGGCGCTCCCATGCCAAGTCCATAAGCATGGCACCTCCGCCGACTCCACCCGCAGTCGCAACGTCCGTTTCGTCAGCCATGGCAGCTAAGTTTGCTCTCTTGCTCTGCACAACGACGTGCTTGTGATAGTTACCGAGCTGCAGGGAAGTTCAAAACAACAGATCCGTCGTCGAGACAGCAACGGTCGGGTCCGCAAGAGCTGCTGCTGCTGCATGCCTTTCTGTGCGCTTGGCATCGTTCATGACGCTCAGGTCTATCTACGGAGCGTGCGGGTATGTGTGTGCATGTGCCGATGTGTGCAACCTGGCCAAAACTGCAAAAGCTAGCTAAAAATGACTGCCGTCCACTGGATGAATGCTGACCTGCGCCCACGTCCGCACATGGGCTCAACCTCGGATTGGCCGTACACGTGACCTATTTCCAGTACGTTGATTGGCCAAGCACCTGAGCCGCACAAGCTTAGCCCATATTAGGCGACGAAAGTGGGACGAAAGTGGGGAGTGAGGTCATGTCGAGATATCTAGATACAGAAATCGAAAGCACTAAAAGTAAAACGGAGGAAACATGTGCCGCGCCGCCGCGCCGTGTAGATTAACACAGACACAGACAGTAGATCAACACAGCTAGTACTAGTAGTAGTAGTAATTATACACGTGACCGACCCTTTCAATAATGTTCTTTCTTTCCTTTTCCTTTTCCACCTGGACTCCTCCTTGGTTTCCCTTTTCTCTCTGGCTCTTCTCTTCAACTCTTGTACCTTCTTGCTATATTAATGTGGGGCTTTGAATAAAACAAGTACATCATGACTGACAAAACACGGACACGTACTAGCAGGAGTATTATCAGCCCCCAGGACATACTCTTGATATGATACTGGTAGTAGTACTACAGTGCTGGCAACTGAAATCCGACCCCTAGCGTCTCGTACGAATCGCTAACGCGGCTAGCGCACCGCTAGGGGGGGGGGGTCGGATTTCAGTTGCCAGCACTGTACGAGTAGTAGTACCCCATGCATGATGGTCGATAGGCGTTATTTACCCGCGCCCCGGGGCCCAGTCGACTAAGAATAGGGCTTGAAAGTGCTACGTCACTCCATAGCAATGGCATAGCAACAATTTGAAAAATTCGAAAACTGGATCCACCTGGATCCAGTTTTTGTATGGATCCAAGCACATTTCAAGCGGTCTCACTCACAGCAAGGTGATGTTGCCAGTGAAACTGACTAATTTGGCTAGTGGGGGCGGGATGACAACTGGTGGCGAAGTAAAAGTTGCACCTGCATACGACATGAGTGGGTTGCTATGCACCCACATACTGAGGCAATAGCAAAGTCACACCTTAGTGGATCCAAAATAGAAATCTGATGTCAATTTACTACTCCCAGGCCGTTTTTGACGTCATCACTTTCAAGCCCTATGCGAGCGTGTACAGATGATCAATGCTAGTGTTACCAAGTCGTTGACGAGTATCGAGTACACAGTCACTGCATCACTAGTACTAGTACTACGAGTACAGACCTACACATCGTAGATCTACGTTTGATTAGTATTCACTAGCAGTTACACAGTATACACATGACGATTGTACTACAATGATTATGTAGTAATAGTACGATTGTACTATAGTACTACAGTCGTCCCTCTCTAATCCGGCACTTTATAATCCAGCACCCTCGATAAACCAGCACAACTTTCAGTAGCCAAAATGTCCTCTTCATGCACATTGCAGCAGTAAATCAGATTTGTTAATCCAGCACCCTCCCTAATCCAGCAGATTTTCGTGGCACAAATGGTGCCGGATTATAGAGGGACCACTGTACTAGTACATGTACAGGAGTAGACCTAGCCCTACTACAGTACAGTACTGGTTCACGATGAACATACAGTCATGCTGGCACAGAGCGCTACCTCCTCTGTTTACATGACATGATGACTGCTGTACATACAGTAATCGTCATTGTATTTGTAGGCTTTATTAATTTTGTCAGTAGCTGCATGCATGAATCTCTCTCTAGCTCTAGCTCTAGTAATTATTTTGTTTTGTAATGTTAGTATACAGACATGTACATGCGGTCCACAAGCACAGGATCAGCCACGTGAAACGCAGATCGAAACCATCACAAACAACGGCAGGGTAGTACAGTCAACTTCGCTAATAACGACTGCGGATATAACGACAATTCGCGAATAACGACGGAATTTCCATGCCCAGAGCAAAGTCCCATCCAACTGTAATACATATAATGAGACTTCGGGTATAACGACACTTTGTCAATAACGACACTTTTCTGATGCCCCGCCGAGTGTCGTTATAAGCGAAGTTGACTGTAGTACCAGGTGTGGCCGGTCCGGTCATAGCAGGACCTTATTTCGAAAAAGGTGGACTCAACGGTGAAAAATGGGTTTTTCGTCAATAGTGCCCACTTCTGCTCTGGTCAAATACCCCATTGGCTGGACCACCTGAAATCCCAGTGCCACGGCCCTGAACCGTGTACATGGCGTATGGATCACAATATACATGAACATGTAGACCTACATTGTACATTGTACATGACAAGACCTTTACGGCTTTAGTGCTTTCCTTCAAGTACATGCACAAGAGAAGCATTTCGCATGGCGGTGGCCTGGTACAAGCTGAACTAAGTTACTTCCTTAGCTGCATGGTTGTGTGTTCTCAACACAATTCGGCATAGCCGTAGTAACCATGGTAACGTGGACATGTGTAGTTTACTTATCACTTTAATCATGTGACCGCAAAACAAGCACAAGTTAAAACGCTCACTTGTTTATCTACATCAAGGTACATTCGAGGATACAGTAAACCCTGTAAGTAAAGACCACCGTGACTAGCGACCAGCCTGGTACTACAGACCACTTCGCCAGGCAAGGACGGTCTCACATTCATACATGGTTGTGCTGTGCAAACCTCCAACTAAGGACCACGTGCCCCTTATAGTCACATGTGTTACTCTACATGTAAATGTAAGAGCTTTGTAGAAAATACTTCAAGTATTGTTTACACGCGCGCTCCATTCGTTGCCAGCTAGTGTAGGCATGCCCCGGGTGAGATTCGTCTCCTGACTCGTTTCATCGCCAAGTACGAATGGTCTTCAGCACTGAAGTAATAGAGACATGAACGACAAAAACTGTACACCACAGTACACCACAGTACACCACTGTACACCACTGTACTCGCACTTCTACACATATGATGTATACAGTCTGCAGTAGAGGTTGCTGCATGGCTCAGTAGACATGTGCAACATACATAATAGCAACCAGGGAGTACTAAAAACCTTGCCAAGTACTCCCTGCAAGATGGCAACTAATGGTCTCTGCACCAGTGAGGGAATACGTGCTTCAACTACTTTCATGACATTGGAATTGGTGGACTCCATAATCATGATAGCCCCCCCCCCCCCCCCCCCCCCCCACACACACAGAGTCTGTCTTGCTGATTATTTCTACAAACGCGGAGGACTCAAGAGCAGATACCCCCCCCCCCCCTCCCTCAACTGTGCAAGATGTACTTTTTAAAATGAAATTAAAGATGGAATCATAAAGTAACTATTACATGACACTTACATGTAGTTCCCTTGTCAAGGTTACTTACATCAAGAGTACTAGTAGCACATAACCTGTGTTTATCTACTTTTCTTGATTACATGTACAGTCCATACTCGTACTCCACGGTACTCCAGCCTGGATGGATGGATCACGGTACTGCAGTACACGCATGACCAGCTCTACTGGGGAATCCCCCCTCAAGACACAGCTGTTTGCATACTAGTACTACAAGCACTGAGAAATCAGGGAAGGATATGGCTGTGTCCATTTCCAATGCGGGCTCCTAAACCAGCTGTGCCTTAGCGTGAGAATCTTTCCATTACCTGCAAGTGCAACTTGCGCCTCCAAGGCCTGGTGGTGAGTGCATTGTGTGAAAACCAAACCTCATGCCAGGACGAGATCATGAGCAACCATGGGGTTAACGAGATGGGGCAGTAAGCCTAAGTACTCCGGCCCGTGTAGCAACGATCTGAGAAGCAAGACTTCCAGAGGCTAGCTGATACCGGTGTGCGTAACGGAAACAGAATGGGAACGGTGAGAATGGATGGACAGGTGGAGACAGCTTTCACACCCTGCGTCCAGCAAGTGACGCCTGCCTATCTTTCCTCATTGCACCAGCACAAGGCAAACACTGAGTGTGTGCATTCACGCTGCAGCAGTAACTAGTGTGTTACTAAGACGGTGGAGGTCGGAGGGATAGCTGTACCCAGGGAATGCTGGCTGCTGCCCCGAGTCTGACTCTGAGTCACATACCACTGACACTGGCTGCATGTACATGTATAGCCTGCTGCTGCTGCACCAGCAGACATAGAACTCAGCACAGGACAGTGCCACTAGCAGTTTAGTCATTCATGTCCATATGCCAGTGTGCTGGTATGTACTGACCAACAGGTGGTACTAACAGTTAGGGACAATAGTACAGGAATGAGGATGAGGATGGTGTCGCCCACAGATTTCCTCATACCGGTACGCGGTAACCAGTGGTAGACATCTGACATTTGCCAATTTTTTTTATATACCATGATTTGCAATGGCAAAATATTCATAATAATTATTATTATCCCTTTCTCGGTGGCCAGGAGCTAGCAAGGTAACTTGAGTCAAATGTACTGTATATGTGGGACACATTGCAGCAATACAGGATAGGACTTTTCTTTTGTCCTATTATCAGATTATCGAGCAGTGGAACTTGGAGGCGTAGGCAGGTGGGCCAAACAGAGCAACAACTCCCCCGTTACTACGTTAGTACAGCTAGTCTGTATGCCACGAACTGTTTGCAACTGTACAGGAAAAGTGCAGGATTGAGGCACAGCAACTGTCCCAGGACATCCAGATGCAGATCCACACATTTGCATGCACACACGCACACATGCAAACACACACACACACACACACACACACACACACACACACACACACGTCTCCCCGGAGAGGGGAGAGAGACTCAAAAGGAATCTTGGAAAGATGACTCAATTGGCTATTGAACCGCCCAACAACGGCCGACACCCCCTGAAATCCCCAAAACTCTGGGTGGACTTGAAAATGATCCCACTCATGGGCTCACCACACCTCAGTAAGTGGGTGAGGACAAGGTGCAGAAAAAGGATTGACGGCATCAGGGTATCCGTCCAGGGATCCAACTGCAGTTACCCCTGCCCCCAGTGAAGGTAATACTTGCTACTACAGTCCATTTCAAAACTATAGACGCGTACCCAGGCAAAAACCGTTATGCCAGCATCTATACCACATCTGTGATCACTTTGTGCATAAATTTTTCCAAATTGGGCATCTGTTATCCAATCGTTTAGAAACTATAATATGAGAGTAATTGTGGAGCAGACCTGAGCAATATTCCGAAAACTATTCTCAAAAAGTTCCAGCCAAATTTGAAATATTTCAAAAACACTACGCGTCTATAGTTTTGAAATGGACCGCAGTGTGGGTGGCTGAACACACACACGCACGCACGCACACAAGCACGCACACACACACACATTATGCAATCACACAACTTTGCATGAACACGCACAGAAGAACAAAGCACCAACAGCAAAGGGCCACTCACCGGTTGGTGAAAAACTGAAACAAGATTGCCTTGCTATAACTTACAGCATGGTTATTACAGCTGCAGGGCGAGCTTTGCAAGAAAGAAGAGCAAGCATCTACATAGCAGGTACTAAACTCCGTGAAACTTTGGTCGGTCATGTAGGAATGGGCATGCAATCATACAGTGCAGTCATCATGCACAACATAGCATACAATGCGCTGGTGCATGCTTCTACTCGTCGTACTTGTCGAATCAGATGCATCGCTAGTAGGTGCAGAAACGGATAAGAAAATCACTAGAAACTAAAAGAAATTCCATGTGCACATGTTTCGTCTGTCTAGGGTGCAATAATGCAACGGCACTACAGGAAAAAAAAAGTCAGAAAAACTGGCGCGAAGTGCAACAACGCACATGATTGTCTTCGAAACTTTCAGCGTGATACACATGAAAAGGTTTCACGGGGAAGGTTAAAAATAAGTTGAAAATCAAAGTAGCATGTGATGACAATGGGAATTGGAGTATGTGAACACAATAACAACAATCAAATTGCACCTAGCAAGGCATGGACTAAATGCAATGCAAATAATAGTACTGGATACAAAGTCGCACAATACAACAACGTACAAAATACGCATGGAGTACAGGGAGTCACGAGAGCGTGGTGACGAAAAAAAGCAACAACACCAAGCGTGTATGCTGCATGGCAGTGTGAGGCACACTGGTTCGGGACAGCAGATCAAGGTTAACCCAGCAGCGAGCAGATCAACGCAACGCCGTGCTCGTAGAAGTCATGCTCCCTGCTAGTACCGCTGGCGGTGAACTGCAGCGTGAACAGTAGCTCAGAACGGGTCGAGTTCAGATAGACAGGCAGCGTGACCTGAAGCAACACACAAAGATGGGAAACACATGGACTCAGTGACTAGGCAATTTCAAATACAAAAAAAGGAACTTGAATTTGATAACTCCTGAGACTTACAACAGCCATTGCCATGAAGTTACCATTGCTCACATTGTGCATTCAAACGACAAACCTTTCTTGGAAAAAACAAACAGTGAGAATGGTGTAGTGTACAAAAGCAAGCCAGTAAAACTTACCAGTTTGCTGGTATCCTTGCTGCTCTTGTCAACAATCCTGTGTGCACAGACATGCAGCAATAGCAACATCAAGAGAGATAAACTCACTCTGCACCGGTAACAGCTTTCAAAATGTGTCCACAACACCAATGCACCAATGTTGATACCAGTGAGTGCGACAACGGGAGCCCGCATGCTCAAACAATATACAATGTATACCAGACAAAGCAGTGTGCCCAACACAAGCAGGACCTTATTGTATAGATAGACAGGTACAGTAGCAGAAGATCAAGCGATGCACACAAGCTAAACTTGAAAGCTGGTCAGGATGGCAGCACTCACCTGTCCCATCTCAGATTGGTCAATGGAAGCGAGGACCTGATGCTGCTTGTCAAAGCCAAGTGGTTGCGCTGTTGACAGGCTGCTCCGAGCAGTTGCATACCTGCCATACATCATCACAAGCACGCATGCCAACAAGCACATAGTAGACAGTAAGCAGAGTGAACGGAGTGCTCATCACATTCAGCACGAAATGTGAAACCCAGTACAGTAGCATTGGCCCAAATACAAGGCCAATAGATACGACCAAACTGTGCCCGATTGACCTGGTAGTTCAATTTCAAGAAAATTACAGGAGCCCTAAAATAGGAAAATAAACCGATAGGACACACACGCACTCACGGATCCATGAATGCATGCACACGCACACACTCACACACGCACACACGCACACGCACGAACACACACACACACATACACATATACACACACACAAACACACACACACACACACACACACACACACATACATACACACACAAACACACACACACAAACACACACACACAAACACACACACACACACACACAATATGAAACAACACGAACGTAGCATGACTGGGCTTACCTGACACGCCAAAGCTGTTTTGGTCCAGCTCAAGGCCAGAGCCATCCTCGTTAGATACAAACACCTATTATGTCAAACAAACAAACGGAAGCACCAATATACACGCATGCATGCACACGCGCGCACACACATACACACACACACACACACACACACACACACACACACACACACACGCACGCACGCACGCACCCACACAAGCACGGTTAGCTAGTGTCCACTGGACAAAAAAAAGTAAAGAATAGTTCTTCCACAGATAAAACAAATCAGGGGAAGAGAGGTCTACAGAGGCAATGTACATGTAGACCGCCCAGAGGGGTCTTCTACAACACTGCGCCGCTACTCACCTGCAGTTCAAGCTCTTCCAGGGGCCAGCTGTTGGCTTGAGCGACATGTTGGCGAGAGGCCGTGATGAAAGCCTCGGGAATAAACAGACCGCCCAGCCAGATATGCAGAGCCTAGGTGGACACACCACATGGAGAACAGGCACAGCATTGAAGATGGGCAAATAAACAAGGAAATACTGCTGGTTTATCGAGTGTGAGCTTATTTATGATGGCACCTTAATTCTGCAAGCTCGCAGCAACACAATTCCCATACAGAGCAGCAATAGCATCGGACGTTAGTGCCACAGTGCACACTGCACCCTACCTTCAATCCATGAGGGCCGCCGGCATTTCCGGCCTGGGCCGTACGCTCCAGCTGCTGAATTCTCTGCGAGAAGTCGACCATCCACTGCATGACGGTGAGCTCACGGGGTACAGTGTAGCGGCGCCAGCTGTTGGGAATCAGACCTGAGAACACACACACACACACACACACACACACACACACACACACACACACACACACACACACACACACACACACACACACACACACACACACACACACACACACACACACACACACACACACACACACACACACACACACACACACACACACACACACACACACACACACACACACACACACACACACACACACACACACACACACACACACACACACACACACACACACACACACACAAGCAGAAGCGCAACGGACTTAGTCATGTTATGGTCTTTCTCGAGTATTTAGAACAAATGTAAGGCCACAATTAAAACAAGATGCACACGAATAAGAAGGGAAATGCTTCAAAGGAATTCCTAAGAAAAGCAGAGTAGAGCCCAGGGCAATGGGGAACATCCCATTACAGATATTACGGAGTGGGTATCACGGGGAGGAGAGCATAGCACCAATATCTAAGGACCAACACATCCAAAGTCTCAAAGATTCACACTTCAAAGTACATGACTGTGCACCGTACTTGGAAGTAGCATACAGCATGCTGACATGTAAGGAGAGAGAGAGAGAGAGAGAGAGAGAGAGAGAGAGAGAGAGAGAGAGTGAGAGAGAGAGAGAGAGAGTGCATGATCTGATGCCGCTGAGCTTACCCTTGGTCAGATCACTAATCAGTGTTCGCATGTAGTTGGTCTGCTTCTTCTTGTTCTCACAAACCTGAACCAGGTCGGTCAGGTCCCGGCGCACCACGCTAAGGAACTTGATACCCATATTCACCTGAGGAAAAAGAGGAACACACACGTTGGAGTTGGCAGTGTCGGGCAAACAGAAAGAAGACGGGTACAAGAATCCACCAGTTCTGACTGTTGGCGATGCACATGTTCTTGTTCGCAAACAAAACAGGACATTCGTTGAAGAGGTAATGTTTAGTTGTATTGCACACAGGTTTTACATTCGACATCAGGTAATTTTGATAGTAAACCGTAATCCAGAATGCACACATACAAGACTTAACAACGTATGCCACACCAGCAAATAGCTAAAACAATACAGAGCTACTCTAAAATTCCCCAGACGATACATTGACTTCCACTGACCTCGCGCTCGAAGAAGCGGAACAGCGGGTTCTTGATGTGCTCAGCTGTACGCTTCATAGCGGTCAGTTTCTGCAGGGTACAAACAACAAAGAAAGCCACTAAACAACAAATAGGCACGAATCGTGCCATAAGCATTACTCATCAGTTGGGTCTCTGGTTCGAGTCCTGGTGGTGACAGTCAATTTGTTATTCAGACTTTTCCCGTTTACAACTTTCCCTCAAATCTTATGAATATTTGTCTACATGCATGACTCGGCTCGAGAAATTGTGTGCCACACAAACCCGTCTGTTAGAAACATTGGATGAAAACAGGGGGTGATCCGGGTGCGGACCAGTGTGCTCCGGGCCTTCGTTGTTTTAACTGCGGAAAGTTGGGCCATTTTAGGGCCAAAATTAGTTGATTTACAGTATAACAACTTTTCCTTCATTTACTGCGCGTGTTCATAAGATAACTCCTACTGTTTTGCTGGAACGCTGCATTCACAAATGAATGGAGCACTTCAGGCCTCCCAGAATGAACAAAACACAGGGAATTCTTACCTCTGGCACCATGGCAAGCCATTCAGCACTTGTCTGTCTCAGGGTCTTCATCCAAGCTGGCTGCCAGTCGGCACCGCCAGAGCCAGCCTTCTCTTCCGATACACTACACGTAGAACACCGCAAGGAGCGAACGTACACACACGCGCACACGCACACACGCCAAGCACACAGAGCAGGAATGCAGTGCTACGGTTAGCCCACAGAAGCACAGCACTTGCACTAAATGGTACAGCATGCAAATCGTACTCTTCACAGTGACATAAAGAACAAACATCTCGCCAGCCCAACTACAGCAGGATGGAAAGTGGCAGCGAAGACCTAACAACCCGTCCCTACTCCACTCGCCATGCAAGACTTCAGAATGGAGGGACACATCAGCGCAGGTCAACAAAGTTACTTCATAGACACTCCCAGCAGCTACATTATGGTTACCTTGGACTGACAGAGTAGGCCAGATCGTCACCATCATCAATACCCTGCATCTTCAGTAGATTGCCAAGCATCTGACCACCTGAACAATAAACACATAAAGAAAAACACAGAAGACAAACATGATTAACCCAATTTACAAATTTATAAGCACAGGATAACATGCCAAGCTTCTTCGGTGAGAAATACTTGTGATGGCCCCATTGCCCAACAAAAACAAATCACCTACTCTCTGGCGAATATCATGAGTCATACTGTATGAGGTATGTGAGCGTCTGTGGCTGTGTGAAATCGGTAGGGTTTCACTGGACCTGCACTACAAGTACGGTAAAAAGCTACAGCACTGGGAGAAAAACATATTTTGGTTTTGAAAACGCTACGTACACAAACTCGCGATGAATGTCGGTGCCAAGTGCATGTTTTGTGCGTACTTTGTACGACGCTGCGTCATTGGTTCTGAAAAAAAGGTGACGTCAACAAAAAATCTGCCGTGGACCAGACCAGCTGTGGAGATGGACGCTCTTGTTCATGTACTTTTCCTGCCACGCATCCAACCGCACACGCAGCGTTATTGCATTTACATGTACTGTATACATGCCAGTGACTAGTGGTATACAACCTGATTGTACACTAGTAGGGCCAGAACCAGCAACAATTTGCCTCGAAGGTACTGGATAAACCACTCCGCTAAAAGACTATGAAAGCCTGTTCATGAACAGCAGAGAGCTCACAAAAGCATATGCGAACAAGAACAGCTGTTGCAGTAGACAACCAGTACTTCTTTTGAAGTTCGTGTACCGTAAAGTCGCGGATAAAAGCCGGGTTTGCATACAAGCACATCGCGGATAGAAGCCTGAAAATCAAACGGGTCAAATGCATATAAGCCTGTCGCGCGTAGAAGCCTGGCTTCTATGCAAGTGCAGATCGGGTAGGTCAAGAGTGCATGCGCTAATGTACGGTGCATAGTAAAACTGTCGCCGGTAGTCAGTGGTAGATGTACGCGTGTCGCGCATATCAGTGATGCATATAAGCATGGTTTGCATACAAGTCTGGTTTGCATTAAAGCCTGATGCAGAAAGCGGCTTATAATGCTTATAAGCCCGGCTTTTATCCGCGACTTTACGGTATGTGCGATCAGTGGAGCAGACACTTTGGACATACCTAGTGTGTTGAGCAGGACCTTCTCAGCATTGTTGGGAAGACCAAGCCAGGCTGGCACTTGGTTGGGCGGTAGCTCCTCGACCCAGTGCAAGAACTGCTCGCGCCTACAAGGACATGCACACAAGAAAAACAGGAACACACAGACAATGTGTTAGTGACGACCACCACATGGGGAGCTACATACACGTTGAAAAGCAACACATCAACAGCCATTCGTTCTCAAGTCTCAGAATTCTGAATAACACAAAGAGTATCAGGTACGCACTGGCGCAGTACAAACAGCACAGTAACCGTCAGAAGCAAGTATGACAGTTTGCTGCCACTGCACATCTACCATTGGGTCAGCTCATGCATCCTAAGGAGAAGATAACATAATACGAAGAGACAGAATGGGGAAAGAATCACGTATAACCCCCATTCTTTCAGTCTAGTCGAAATCAGGGCTTAATGATTTCACTGAATAATCAAGGCCAGGCTGATTACACCCTTCCGGCTAGTGCAAAGGTAGGAAAGTCACTGCAAACAAGCAGGTTCGCAATGCATGATGCTGAACACACGTACCGAATACAATCTGGCATGGCAATACCAGAACCGCTGACACCATCGGTAGCGGCAACAAGGGCAAACTCCGATTCAAAGCTCGCAACGTTGAAGATGCGGTTGACAAACGCATTCATCAGGCGCTGTACGACGGCAATAGGACGAAAGTACACCATGACATAATATGTAGGTCAGTCAGATGATGCAAACATCAGCAGTGGGTCTACATCACAGTACTACAGTAAAACCTGTCAAGGTGACCGGACCACCTGTCCCAGAAGACCTATACAACAAAGACCATGGGGTGAAATTTCCGCTCAAATGACCTTGGATAAGGCGACCACTTGTACATAGGGACCACATTTCGAAGGCCCTTTGAGCGGTCGGCTAAAGCAGGTGTCACTTTACTTCAAGACGTATATACGGATACAGGAGATGCATACAAAACAAACGAATATTCTAAAGGGGAAAATATTCCTTCCATCGGGTTCCAAACGAATATCAATCGAATATTCCTTGCAACCCTACTTGTTATCATATTCAAGATCCGCGTGCTTTACTTGAGAGCCGCACAGCATAAAAGCCTACTGCTTGAAGATTCATGCCTCAGGAAAGGCGCGAAAATATTCAAATGCTTTATTTACAAACAATAAGTCATATCGGTAGAAACTAGAAAGTGGTCGGTAGCTGGAGTAGACAAATACGAATACACAGCATACTGGCAGAATTGAGAACTATGGGCCACTTTCCTAATAACACTCTGGTGGTGATACGCGTGGCCCAAGCCCAGAGCCAAATGTAGTCACTACATGCAGTGGTTCCAAGTAGCCACTGTATGTAGCCACTGCATGAGGCCAAGTCAAGTCCACATACACAAGCAGACAGTCATGTCAACATTACACAGAGAGGACAGTTACCCCCGTACCGGTATGCCCAGTAGACCTACCTGATCAAATTCGTTGTCAATGCGACCACCATAGATACACTGGGACACCAGAGTACGCAGGGCAGACCATGGGATCTTGTCCGGTGGCAAGTTAGAACGACCCTATAGAACGACAACAAAACAACAACATGACAAACTTCAACAAAACAAGAAGCCCTTTGCAAAAAAACTTCAATTCGACCCCCTCCCCCCCCACACACAGAGATGATACTTCGAAGTACAAGTAGAATAGAAACAAGTATGCATACACAGTGACAATTCTCCGCTAATTCAGCACATGCAGCGTAGCAGTGTATCCACTAAGTACCTGAGCAACATTGTCCAGCCACGTGTCCAGAGTGTCACACGCCATGCGCAGATCACTCTCGTTGAACTCGTACACCTTGGACCAGCCAAGTGGTGCATAGCGCAGACGCTCCTGAATGATGGCATGGAACCAGGCAATGAGGAAGTATAGGCGAGCGCGCTCGTTGGGGGCCTGTAGGCATCAGGGAAGGAAACAGAATGAAACAGACAGCATCAGCAGCGTGCCTTGCAAACAAAACAGCTCCTAGAAGACCAAGACCACACTTTGTGCACACACAGATACGGATCATCAACCATGCCCCACTCGTCAAGGAACACACACTGCACTTGTAGGAGAAATGGCTGTGTGGAGGTGAAACTGATCGTGCCACAAAATACTTCAGATTCAGAGTACGTACCTTTGCCATGCGAGTGGCTGGGAAGGATGAGAATGTACGCAGCAGGTTGGAGCGCACACCTGGAGGCGGCTCAAACGTGAACATGCGCGATGCACGCAGCAAGTTGTATGGCACCTGGAGAGAATATCAAAATGACGAAAGACAAACACACGTCAGTCTTCCCCAATAAACACCCGGAAATTAGACACAAGACCCGGCAGGTTGAAAGTAAATTCCGATCTCTTGTCACAATTAGGAGTAGTCACAACACATAAACCAAAAACAAGATGGTGGTCCACAACAACTATATATCCAGTTGGGATGAAAGATACAGGCTATCGAGTGAGTAAAAGCAGGAGTCGGGATGCATGGGTCGGACTCAATATAACAAGGCCGCCATGTGCGTGGAGGTTTTCCTTACCTTGGGGTTGATTTCCATGGTCATGAACAGCCTGAAGTCAGGGTGAGGTGTCAGTGCATGCAGCTTCTTCTCAAGCTGTACCAGCCACTGAGGCGCAAGATGAACGTTCTTCAACAGCACCCACCTTGGACAAACAACAGTAAGCCACGCACCGACACATCAAAGTTGTGATGAGCGAACGTCAAAAGAAGAACAAACGCATGCACGGATACTACTGCCCCCATACAGAATTCTGACAAGGAGCGGTTAGCTGAACTCACCGGCCAGCCTTTGATGCAGACAGGATTGCCTTATCAGCCAAACTGAAGCCTTCAGCAGAACCTGCAAAAGGACACGACAAGCAGCAACACACCAAGAGATGCATAGGAGTTACCCAGTGACAGTACTGATGTCACACACAATGTGTAGGAAATGAACTGCAGTGGTGCTCATGTTACTGGTACTCTGTACGGTGACAACCTGGCATATTCAGAGGTCTGCTCACCGGTATGCTGTACATGTACAAGATGTGCTACAGTGGTGAGGCTCTTCACTTACCAATAGCAATAGACGTGCATTGCTTGGTCTGCTGCGTGGCCAGGTCATCCACACGTCCACTAGCATCGTAACCCGTCACGCAGCACAGCAGCACGGGTGTGCTGGCCTTCACCTGCACGCAGCACACAGAAGATAAGTACACGGCGTGAGGAAATAGCATAAACACAGTTTGCACAAACCCGAGACACACACAACAAAATATTCTAATATGTTTTCTGCACACACAAGCACAAGTAGGAGGATGCAACAAAGATAACTGCATAACACACGTGACTACTACTAGCTTTCATAGTCACCAGACAAGAGCAGTAACAACACAACATACCTCGTTGGTCACAACTGCGCCCAAGTCGACATCTTGATCTAGAGAGCGCATGAACGACGCACCCAGTGCAGACTCCACCAGGCACACGGACGATGCCACCAAGCGATCGGGGCGGAATGCCTGGACCACCATCACGCGGTGCAGGGCTGTGGCAACATCACCTGCACATTACCCACAACACACAGGAACAACAAACACCTGTTAGTTGGTCCGGGGACATTGACATGTGAAAACCTTGCTTTACACTGCTCACCAGAAGCTGAACACAAACCAAATGCACTTTTTTGGAATAATACTGTAAATCAAGAATGTTTTGGATGCGAAAAGTTTCGTACGTTTTCATCTAAAAGTAAAACCTGTTCTGCCTATGCATACTACAGTTCTGCACAATGATATCCAATCAAGCAGAAGAATACCAGGCCTGGCGCTGTGCAGCCCTAGAAATGCGACCGCTGGAGAATGAAGAACTGGGGCAGATTGAGCGATTGCACACGTGTTGTCAAACCTACCCTTGACCAGGTTCTCCTCCCAGCAGTCGGGTACATTCCTTTCTGGTTGGACGGTCTCCAGCCATGCAGTGAACTCCTGTTCGCAACAAGGTGAGTAAACGAAAGCAGCCACAATGGTCAGGAAATCTCTACAACATCATGCAGCTTGGTACATAAAGCACACAAAGTCTACCCGTGCTAGATTGCAATAGTAATCGCTGTGAAAGTACAAGTGCAAGTAATGAGTACATCGGCACGCATCCATTCTCAGAGGGTATAGTGTCGCCAACACAAACAGATCCGTACCTCGTTGCCATCAATGTACTGTAGCAGCTTGATGAATGGCTGCAGCTTGGATAGTCTCTCAGCACGCAGCGTCTGCAAGATACACATGCACACACCGAGATTGGTCAAAGCGTGTAATGACACAGCGAGGATCAATACTGGGATACTGAAGGAAAGGTGAGATAGACAAGAAGTAAAAGTCAGAGTGGACAACAGAAAAGAAGCAGGGATGAATTCGCACTACAGGCTAAGTGGTATTGTACATGTACCTGTTAGATAGCATGCAATACACAAGACAAGGACAGAAGGGCAGCAGGTTGGTACCCACATTAGCAAAGCTACTACAGCGTCCAGCAGTAAATGCTCTAAAACATGTCGCCCTATACCTGTTCCACAGTGAGACCGGGTAGAGCTGTGTGCGTGCCGGCAGCAACAGCAGCCAAGACTGCCTCGCCGCCACGCAGGAGGTAGTCGAACTCTTCGCTGTGGTCTGATTGCCTGCAAGGAAAAGGACAATACACAGTGATACATATAGTAGAAACAAGCACATAGAAAGGAGCACTGTTAATCTATCCAGGCACACTAACTTTATTTGTATTGCCAACTGCTGATGACAGTATACAATACAGGTATATGTGTTACATCAAGAATCACAGTGCAAATATACACACACTCGCGCGCGCGCGCACATGCACACACACGCACACACAGGATGCACATACCCGATACAGCCCTTGAGGAAGATGCGGACAAGCAACAGGGCGAGGGTGACACGGTCAGACTGCAGCAAACTGCGAGCAACACGGTCAAATACAACCTAGCAGAACATAAAGAGACAACAACAGGATCATAACCATGCTCACATTGAAGTCAGATTATATCAGACATGTTGTTGACTGAGTAAGAACAAAATTGGCCATACTGCCCGCCAACACCGGCACCCAAACCATGCAAGTACTATTGGGACGACGACGAGCAGGGCCCTGGGGGATTCTCAACTTGCAGTTGATACAGGCACATGCAGCTGGTTGCTCTGCCCCCGTCCACTGCCACTAATGGGTTTCTCACTCGACAAAGAAGCTAGTCGAGATGCTTTGGCACTGCTCTACGGCTGGTTCCTGACTTGGCCCTCCTCCATATGCATCCGTGGCCAGCAGCCTTGTCATGCCCAAAACGGTGGTTACCCAGCCCTGCGACATAAATGAACTACAGAACACAGCAACTGTGCTGCTGTGAGATGATAAAGGGTACGGGCCAAAGGTTTTGCCTCTGACATGCGAAGAACCACGTCTCCATCCTGCGATCCGAGACGATCATGTCCACCATGACATTGCAGCTAGCGGGATGCGTTACTCAGCCATCGAGGGTGTGTAAACAGCCTGTAAGCCTGTCCAGCATTGTTGTGTGTGTGTCCTGATGTTGTTGCTCAAGTACACGTCTACTGAATAGTGACTCACTGGATGTGCTGATTACTTCCTATGTAAGTTACTCATACTCCCCAAGCTCGGTATAGAATGGCGGTCAGTGCACCCCAAACATCACATGCTCTATCCAGCTGCAAACCATGTTCTGTCACATCGGGCAAGCCCATACTGTCTCCGGGCTACAAAGAGAGCTGTGTGTGGAGTCTTCAAGGACTTCTTCTTCTTCTTATCTTGTAAAAAATGTCATGGCCGACAGTATAACCAACTTACCTGGAAAAGGTCCTTGATGATGATGTCCAGACGAGCAAGCGGGTCAGTCTTGCCCTTCAGGTTGGGGTTGTTGGACAAGACGACGTGGAAAATGTCCAGGAAGAACGCCAGAGAGAACTGATACAGGAAGTGAATCTGTGAAGACGACACACGCAGTAAGTGAGAAAAAGAAAGATCGAAGTCAACACACAGAATGCTATGAGAACACAACAGAAAACAATGTCATGTGGGTGGTACATCATCAGTCCGCAACCCGCTTCCAAACAGAAAAAAAACCTGGAAATTAGACTGACCTGTTGCAGAGAGTCGATCATGAAGAAGATGGAGCTGCACGATGTGGCTAGTGGCAAGTACTGGTGTGACACGGCCTCAATCTCAGCCATGACAATGTCAGTCTCGTCCACCTTCTTCTGCACCTCGGCTGCCTCCTTCTTCAAACGTTCCAGTTGAGACAAGATGCTGTGCACAGGTATAGGACGGGTACAATGGTAAGATTACTAAGATAAGTGTAAAGTTTAGTAGAGACAAATTGCTCATCCAAAACTGAACACATGGAACAAGCCTAAAAACAGCCATTTCAATTAGATGATTCTCCGGTGGTCAGTGTCGGGGCAGATATGTCAAATTTGATCGTCTTCCGGGAACGTCGGTATACACGTGTATGCATGCACGCTTGCAAGTCATTAGAAACAACAGGAGCGCCCGGCCTACACAGCATCACTGCTATGTTTCACTGGAGTGGCCCGTAACACAGATCTGCCATGCTCGCGCTGCTTCCCACCCTAGGCTGAGGCTGATAGAGTAGGTAGTGACATCTTGTCTTACTTGTCATTGTCAAGAATCTTTCCTTCAACCTCATTCAGAGCCTGAAGCAAGCTCTTCTCCAGCTGACGGAGACGCAGGCGGAATTCACCTGAACAACAGAAACGTGGCATACGTATCAAGATGAGGCAGCTGGCACTGACAAACGAATACTAAGGCCAGACTCATTGTCTTCACCAAGAGCCAGCACACATGCAGTAGTGTTAGTAGTGCAGGGGTCACTACAGAAAATATAAAATACTAGTCCGACACACACACACACGCGCATGCACGTACGCACGCACGCACGCACACGCACACACACAGTGACAGGAACACTCAGCGTACCTTGCAACTTCAGCAGGTCAGAGCGCTTCTGATCAACATCGGGACGTTCGGACTTCAGCACCTGTTGGTATAAAACAGAGTAACATGAAAGATCAAAATTACATTCTGTGAGGCTAAGGCCCTCATTTCATGATACTACTGAAGAGCAAAAATGATCCCATGCTCTACTGGACAAAGATATTACAAAATGAAGGAAAGAAAGAAAGAAAGAGAGAGAGAGAGATAGAGAGAGAGAGAGAGAGAGAGAGAGAGAGAGAGAGAGAGAGAGCGAGAGAGAGAGAGAGAGAGCGAGAGAGAGAGAGAGAGATAGAGATAGATAGATAGATCTATAGAGAGAGAGTGAGAGAGAGAGAGAGAGAGAGAGAGAGAGAGAGAGAGAGAGTGAGAGAGAGATGTACCTTTAGTCCGAGAAAGACCTAGAATAGTACACCGAGAGAGAACAAAGCAACTGCCGGATTACCTGGTTGAGGCACTGGGTCTGCAAGCTGGCCGGTGTAACAGTGAAGTTGACAAATGTTACACGAGAGCACAGGTCTGGCGGGAATTCAACCTAACCAGAACACCACCAAGAGAAGAAAAAAACACAGGTTATTTAAATATGTTCTAAATTGAGCAGATGCATGTTAACAAAGGTTAGGTGACGAGGCCAAAAACAGGCAATCAACATGATGTGAAAATCACAATTCGTTTACATTGTGCTTTCTAGTAGCACACATCAGCAATACATACCGACGGGTCACGTGTGGAGAGGATGATGGTGAACGATGGTGACAAGTCAATGTCCTGGTCACCCAGCGTGATCAGCACACGACCACCGGTGCGGCGCACTTCCCGGTTGAGTACTGGATTCAAGATGGGATCGTAGTTCTCAACATCCTATACACACACACCAGGGGACAATCAAAAGGTACGCACAGCAGCAGAGCACTCTACTCAGAAAATATTAACAGACAACATTGATGTTGAGAGAACAGCCACTGCCGACAATGGCAGCGGCTACGACACTAACAGCAGCAGCAGCAGCAACACCCATAACATCATCAACAGGAGCAGCAGCAGCAGAAGCAATACACAAGTCAACATACCATATTTCCTCAATTATAAGTCGTTCTTGATTATAAGTCGCACCCCCACTTTCAGGTTTGAGCCATATTGTTTCAATATATCCATATGAGTAGGGTGTCACACTCCATTGTAAGTCGCATCCCTTCCTTTGCCGGAGAAGTTTAAAAGTATGAAAAGGTGTGACTTATATTCGGGGACATACCGTACATGCCTGTGTTGCAGAAAGTACACAAAGGCGCAATGCCAACTACGTGCCAACTATGACCTGCCTTGTAACAGCCTATATCTTCACCATTTCTCTCGGAAACCAAGCAAACGTCCACTCGTAGATGGACAGAACATGCCTCAACCCTTCACCCCAGCCAATGCCACTACTGCACATACATACCTGGACAAGCAATGGGTTGCCAAATCGCAGAGCACTCTCCAAGTTCTTGCGGAAAGAGTCGTCCAAGAAGCTGCATTGGTAGGTCACCAGAAAGAAGAAACAAGCATTAGGGATAGAACGCCATGCTTGGAGAGTAGTAGGATGAGCACCGCATACAGCATACTACATGCTAACAGAAACAACATGTGAAGTCATGTACATGTGCGCAGACACAACCCTGAACAAGCTCATGTACAAATAGACACATACACGCCACTGACCAAATGACAATTGGTCGGTAACGATTACGAAGGACATCGAGGCTCACAGAACGAAACGAGTACTGACCTGGTGCGGGTAATCTTGCGGTCCTTGTACTGGTTGAGAACAAACTCGGTGGCCTGGCCGCTGGGGTCGATGATGAGCGGGTAGCGGTTAAACCGTTGCAGGATGATGGCATTCTCCACACTCAAGTCATCAGTGGGCAGTGCATTCTCTTGCCATGCCATGCGGTCATCTGGTGACGATAGATACTGTACGACGCAAACAACATTTTCCACCGGTTTAGTCTCATTAACTTTTGATTGTTGTAAACGTTTACTCTACTAATTGAACAGGCATAGTTGCCTTCTTACCAACGTAAGGGCCGGTAAGAGCCGCTTCTCACAGATAGATGAAGAGGTACTGTAATGGGCTGAATTCAATTGACATATGGTTGCATAAACTGACATGCCTACCCTCCAAAGGTACAGATATGTATATGTGTACAATTGTGTCTGAGTTTGAATGTGGCCTGCCCAGTGGGTGTAAATCTCCGCACATGCCCCTAACGTAGAGGAACGTGTACGTCCGTGCGCGTAAGCCATGTGTGACTGAAGAGAGCAGGGAAATGGTGGACACAAGACACCAGCAAACAACAAGCAAGCTTTCAATTCTGCACAGCTGAAAGGGTGATGCAGGATTTCTCACCTCTGTGCGAGCAATATCTAAGCGGAATTGAACGCCGGCAGATTGCAAGTGAGACACCCAGGATGAGAACAAGTTGCCACGCAGAGACTGGTCAAAGTATCCTGATGCATGAGGCAAACAAACAGTATAACTATTACTTGTTCAGTGCATAAAACATCATGATAATAAAAAGAGGGAGAAAAAAAAGAAGAAAAAAGGCAGCCTCATTATTGCAGAATTTTGTCATCACACAACAATCAGAAATCGTAGTGATTGATATCGAATCATCAGCTGCCTTGAGAAATAAACAAAACGGCACCCAAACATGGGAATCGAACCCACAAGTATTCGGTTAGGAACAACATCCTACACCATTCGGCAATACAGCCTCTCTAACCAAAGACAACGATCAAAGATCATTTTCAAAACAACATACAAACAAGAAATCTTTGGCTATGATCGTTTGGTCGGATCCGGATGATATGTCTACAGTTAGCAAGAAGACATTTATTATAAAACAAATCTGAAGAGAAGGAAAACACAACTGAAGAGGCAAAACACATGAAGCACGGAAGTATCTCCCAAGCCAAGCAAGCATGCCGTTATGGTGCGAGGTCATACAACTGTGGTACAAATCTAGTACGGGAGTACATGAACTACAGGTCAAATATGGCATGGGGGAATCCATATACATCACGCCCCTTCGAGATAATGCTGAGAAAACAAATCCAGTATTATCTATCAAATCAAATCAAAACAAGAAAAGAACAAGTATGGCAAACAACGGCCCATAGCACACGGCGGAACAGACATAGCATGCCACACAAGGATACAGAAAGATACGATATAAGAACAATCCTCAAGAACATGTACACGATGTGTCCAGAACAAATCAAGATGCATAAGACTGTCCACGGGTGGAGGAAATGTTCAAACGAGAGGGTGGTTGGTGTGCTCGTGTGCTGCGACGCAGAGGAGGAGGCGTAGCAGGAGCAACGACAACAGACGGCTGTGGTGAAACGCATGGTGCTGGTGACGGCACGGGTGGAGAGAACGGACGAAGAAAACGGCGATTTCTCCAATAAACTCGACCACTAGCCAACTTGACGAAATAGTCACGGTGCTGCCCAATGGCCACAATCACGCCACGGGTTGTCCAACGCTTCGTCTTCGGATCCTGGACGTCCACAGGAGTGCCGATACGGAGAACGGGGAGAGAGCGGTGGGTGGGAGTACTGGCGGAAACAGGTGTCGAGGGTGGTGACTGTTCTTCACGCTCACTAGCGACGGTCGACCACGAGGAATCAAACTGCGTCCACTCAGCAATGACGAAAGACCGAAGTGGATGCCCGAGAAGATGCTCAGCTGGGCTCTTGCCAGACGGACCGGGCGTATTCCGCCACTCCAGTAGACCACGACGAAATGCATCTGTGTCGAGATTGCCATTTGACGAGGTCTTGAGCAGCAAGCGCTTCATAGCTTTCACTGCAGCTTCCGCATGTCCATTACTCTGGGGGTAATGCGGGGAAGAGGATACGCGTTGCACTTGCCAACGGCTACAGAAGTCAGCAAACTTCTTCGATGCAAACTGGGGGCCACCGTCGGTGCACAGTACAGCAGGCACACCCAGATCGGCAAACCAACGACGACAAGCGAGAATGACATCGTGTGATGACGTGGTCCTGCCGGTTCGAACAACGCACGGCCAACCAGTCAGACGGTCGACATAAACAAGAAACTCGTAGCCTTGGCAAGAGAACAAATCAGCGGACACAAACTCGAACGGCAGAGTAGGATGACGGTCATTCATCGGTGGTTCGGCTGACTGCGACGACTGGAATTCTCGACACGCGGAACAGGCACGGACAAGGGTGTCTATGTCGGCGGTGAGACCAGGCCAGTACACGAGCTGTCGGGCGCGAGCCTTCGTGCGGACGAGACCTTGATGCGATGCATGAAGATTAGCAAGAACGCGTTGACGCATAGCCAAGGGAACAAGAATGCGTTGGCCTTTCATGACGATGCCCTGGTCCACTGACAGGTGCTCACGTCCATTCCAGAAGAGTTGGAGTGGAGCATCCAAATCACGCTGACGAGCGGGAAAACCATGCAGAACGCACTGGACAAGAGACTGATATACAGGATCAGCTGAGGCGGCTGCTTGAAGTTCAACAAACTTCAGGTTGGGGTGAGGACCATCATCACGGAGCATGCAGACGCGGATGCTGCGGCAATGAAGCGCAGGGGCTTCGCCGAGTTCATCATCTGAAGACGGGATGCCGACGGGATTGCGAGACAGCGCATCAGCAAACGCGTGATCAGAGCCTTTTCGCCAGGAAGCGTGCACTTGAAACGACTGCAGCTTCAGGCGAAGACGGAGAAGGCGAGGATTCTCGATCTGATCTAGAGAATACGCGTTGATAATCGGGATCAACGGACGGTGATCAGTGATCAGATCAAATAGGGTGCCGGATAAGTACAACTTGCACTTGTGCACAGCCCAAACGACGGCGAGCATCTCGAGCTCAACAACAGCATAGCGAGATTCGGCGTCAGAGAGGTAGCGGGAGCCACACTGGATGATTCGCCACTTATCATCCTGCTTCTGCCACAGAACGAAGCCGAGACCACGTAGTGCAGAGGCATCAGTCTCCAGACGGAGGTCGTGTCCATGCTGGTAGAAGGCCAGGATAGGAGGAGACAGCAGAGTAGACTTGGTCTTCTCGAACGCAACAGTGTGGTTGGCATCCCAGACAAATTCACGGGTCGTCTTCAACAGACCACGAAGCGGAGTGGTGCAGGCGGCAAGGTGTGGTGAGAACTCGCTACACTGGTTCACCAGGCCAAGAAACGAACGCAAATCAGTGCGGGTCGCAGGAATGTCAAAATCGCGAATAGCCGCTGCCTTGTCATCGTCAACAACCCAGCCGTCTGGACTGACAATGTAGCCGCAGAAATGGATGTGACGTGACGCAAAGGTGAATTTAGACGGGCTCAGAGTAATGCCATGCTGTCGAGCACACAGCAGGATGTCACGGACATGGGTGACATGGGAGGCAAAGTCGTCATCATAGGCCAGGCAATCATCTACAACCTTGGCGAAATTCGGGATTGCATCGAACGCAGCATCAGTGCGGCAGTTGAAAACATCCCCGGCGGAAATCAGGCCTTGAGGGTTGCGTAGGAAACGATACCTGCCGTATGGGGTGATGAATGTGGTCATTGGACATGCCTGCTCACTCAGTGGGATTTGCCAGTATCCGTGCCTTGCATCAAGCTTGGTGAGGAACTGTGCCGATCCAATCCCAGAAACCACATCGCGAGCGGTGCGAACAGGGTGGGCTGGTCTCAGGACTTGGTCATTCAATCGTTTGAAATCGACGGTGAGGCGTTTCTCAGTGGTACCTTTCTTGTCGACGAGCACAATCGGGTGACACCATTCACTAGGCTCACTGACAGGCTCGATTATGCCATCGACAACCATTGTGTCCAGTTGTGACTTGACCTGGTCACGAAACGCGTACGGAATCGGGCGTGCGGTATGGACACATGACGGCTTAGCATCTGGCTGAAGTTGGATGTCCATCGGAGGACCTGCCATCGCCTTCAAGCCAGTGTCGGAAAACACGTCCGAGAACTCCTGCAGTAGCTCATCGCGAACACGAGCGATATCAGCAGAGCTAGGATTGACAACAGGCTTTGATACACCACGGATCTTAGGTGGCGCGGCAGCATTAGCAGCAGGGTACTGTGCAGGCCAATCTGACGGGAGGAGCTGGAGTGCACTCAAGGACGAACGTGATAGAAGAGCATCGTCCAGACCCTTGTACACGTGGATTACGGTGCTGTGTTGTACTTCGCCAACCTGAAGTGAAGCACGAATACTGCCGACGTTCTGCAACTGCTCTCCAGATGCCGCTAGGACGCACTCTGGGTCATGGTCGAGGTTCTCGGGGAACCCGCCAAGCAGTTCGAGATGATGCTCGCCAATGGCATCGACGTCACTGCCAGTATCAGGGACCCAGGGTAGCGTGACTGCCTCATCCTCAGTGGCTAAACGGGTGGACACACGCACAGTAGGCTGCGCAGCAAGACGAGTACGCTGCAACTTCAGTTGGCCCACGTGCTTCACGTTCCGGTCCGATTGTGACGACGACCTACACATAGCGAGAAAGTGACCAGTCTTGCCACAGCCATTACATTTCTTGCCGCTGGCAGGGCAACTAGACTTTGTGTGCGGGCTCCGGCCGCAATTGGGGCACTTCTTGTGTGTGTCGCTTCCTGACGAGGGAGCGGATGCAGATGGCAATACAGGTGCAGACATCTTGCTGCCAGGCTGTCCCTGTCGGGATTGTTGCTTACTGCGTTGGTACGCGGACCGCCGCACAGCATTGAGCTGGCTGGTGGACGGGATACTGCTGCTCGTCGTGGTAGCCGCTTCCTCCGCCCGGCAAATTGTGACTGCATCGTTCAGGGTCAAGTCCTTGGCAGACAATAGCTTGTGCCGGGTAGCGTCGTCACCAATTCCAATGACAATCCTGTCACGCAGGGTGTCAGCACGCACACGTGTCAGGCTTGTGCGACAGGTACTACATGTGTGTGCTGAACATTGTGAGCACAAAACAACGTCCGGAAAATCACAGCTAGTGTGTAATTCTTTCAACGAAGTGTAAAAACAATCGAAAGACTCGCCTTTCGACTGACACCTGTCATAAAATGCGATACGATCCAGGAGTGGGTTGCGCTGCCGTCGCAAATATTCCTTGACTGCAGAAATCACATCGTCCGCATCGGGATTCGGTGGAGTCACGATTATACCCTCGCGGAGAAATCTGCGTAGCTCCTCATCAAGAGCTTGCCGCAGCGAGGATACTCTGGTCTCACGGCTCTGGGCTGACAGGTGCTGGCACTCATAATAGTCTCGCCACATTTCCTGCCATGCCGTGAAGTCGGCTAATGTCGAGGACGACAGTAAAATCGGTCGCTCCGCAGAGACAGGCTTTGGAGCTGGTGATGTGGTGCTGGGTTGCACGGGTTGTTGTGTTGGTTGTGTCAGTCGTTGTATAGTTTGTTGGAACAGGTCAGCCATTTTACGTTCCCTCTCCTCTGAGGACTTCATTTGTGCCGCCAACATCGCGGTCAGGGCAACAATGTCAGGAGCAGGGTCTGAGTCGGACATCGTGGTCGCAACCTACGCAAATGCTGATCACGAACAAACTACAAAACAAAATCGGCCAGTGCGCAACACAACGAGGTGCAAACACAAAGCACGAGAAACTAAACACACAGGTGAGTTCTACAAGGAACGAACAGTTCACTGCGCCATGATATGTCTACAGTTAGCAAGAAGACATTTATTATAAAACAAATCTGAAGAGAAGGAAAACACAACTGAAGAGGCAAAACACATGAAGCACGGAAGTATCTCCCAAGCCAAGCAAGCATGCCGTTATGGTGCGAGGTCATACAACTGTGGTACAAATCTAGTACGGGAGTACATGAACTACAGGTCAAATATGGCATGGGGGAATCCATATACATCACCGGATCCAGATCCAAATCTCAGATCCGCCGGATCCTTCAGAATCAACCGATCACTTTTTCTCGGACCTAGGTTGTTGCTATGTTGACGAAGTAAAAAATGGCACTGACAGGTCACCCAAAAGGGCGAAAGTCGTACTGATGGCGCACGTCGTACGAAAAGTCAACAAAAGTCGACTAGTCGCACGACAGTGAGTACAAAAATGATTTTTACCCGCCATATACGCACAAAGGTCACATTTGGATCCGATGGATCCAGTCAACCCTGCTCCCGGGGCAGGGTTGCTCGGATCCAAATCCGAAGGATCTGGATCCGGATTCGACCAATCGATCACTGCAGATCCAGTGGATCTGGATCTGGATCCGACCAAACGGTCACGGCCTTTGTCTAGTCTACTGACTGGAAACAGAAAGCTGGGAATGCCAAAATCACCACGCACCTGCATATGCCATGAAGGCAGCGGAGAGCAAGACATCACCGATAATGGTGGACATCTGCGTCTTGAATTGAGTGCTGCCCTCCTCCCAGCGATTACGCTCAGAGCCGAGGCTGTACAGCAGAGCATTGCTGCGTGTCACCTAGGACAGCAACGCGGTGAGAGAATAAAAATATATTGCAGTGAAGCAAACCAAGCTCACAAAATACTGTTCACTAAACAAATCAAAATGTTCATCTTTTGCCTGACTTGACCAATATCATGAAAATAGTTCAAAACGCACATGTATCAACTGTGATATCCACTTGCTGCAAGCCAGCAGCAACACTCGCGTTCCAGAGAGACACTTTACCGCATTCACAAGATTATACTACACGGCATGCAGTGCCAACTCACAACATGCGGCCCAGTCCCATATGCACTGTGCACTCACCTTGCTTTCGACGGCAGTGAGGCTGGCCTTGATGACCTGTGCCTCGCTGATCAGGACAGCATACTCCTCCTTGTACTGACCAATGCTCTTCTCCAAGTCTGAGACCATCTTGGCCATTTCATCAGCCTAGGCACACAGGAAAACAGTGGGACGCATTCAAAACGAACTGCGTTAGAACAAGGTTTGCATTGAATGAATTGGTTATCAATAGTGGTAATCCATCGAAAAGCACTGCAGCTCACATATGTTCATGTATAGCACCAAGAGTACATAACCCCCCAGAGTGTGCAACTCCGATCCAGCTCTGCATAGGGTCTTGGTCGAGCGGAATCGGATCTTCTGATGTCATGCGTACACTCCACACCAGCGCAAGGCCGGTCTCGAGGCAGGGCACCATTGTTTTTGATCCGAGAGTACCCGCGACTCCCTGGGTTCCCCTCAGATGTGTACGGTATTATGACGCAAAGATCCGATTACGCTCGACCAAGACCCTATGCAGAGCTGGATCAGGCGTTACACACTCTGGGGGGGGGGGGGTTATGTACTCTTGATAGCACTGCACGGCTACTTCAGACAACTGTCAAGCAATGAGAGAGAACTGAGAAACAAACAGTGCATGTATATATATATAGTTACCCCTACTTACCTTCAGTTTGGTTTCAGCCGCTCGGCGTTCCAGGGCGCTGAGTTCCTGCCTCAGTGGGTCCACCTTCTTCAACATGTCAGCATATCCCACCTGCACGCAAGAAGAAGAAAGAAAGAACCCAGAAAACATATTCAATAAGTGAAACATGTCCGGTTGTGACAAAGAAGTCAAGAAGTAGCTGAGTTTCCCCGGAGCCGTGTCTGCAGATGAAGTCACGGCCATAACAATAAATACGTTGTCTTGTAGCACATTGCACAACCTTCACTTTTTTCACCGGACCTAAAGATAAAGTGAATAGTAGGCAAGAATGTATTATACAATGATCATTGACTGCATTGAATGTAATATTGTTATCCCATACCTGTGCAATCGCCCACTTGGCCAGTGGACCACAAGCTCGGCTAGAACGGTTGATTTGCTCAAATTTGAAGTCCTCTAGACTGAAGTACTTGTCTTTCATCGACTTGCGCATTCCGTCACTGCACGCACGCACACACACACACGTACACACACACGCACGTACACACACACACAGTGAACAGAACAGCCATTAGATGACTACGAGAGGAGGTATATAGCATACCAGCAGAGCATAGTACGCAGCAACACGTCAGTGCATGCACAGCCAACTACAGAACCAAACCCTGGACACATACAAATGGTGGCAAATAGCAAACAGCAAGGCCAGAGGGTGTAAACACTAAACACTGGAACCCTGCACTCACGAGATGTCCTCAGTGGAGAAGTTGATGATGCTGTTGATGAAATTGTCGCGCATAATAATACCACGGATAGCCTTCCAGTCAGACGTAGGCTCTCCCAGCATTCCACACACAGCTTCCAATGTCAACTTGACAAGGCGCGGTGGGTTGGTCATGGTACGCATTTCTACCAGGTGGTTTCTCTTGATGTCGCGCACAGCTGAACAATAGAAAGTGCATGTTACAGAGAGCGCATATCAACATGACGAAGCACTATTACTGTGCAGATAACATGAGTGAAAAGAGCACAACATACAACTGTCAGAGAAAGTCTGCCAGTCAGCTGACAATGGTTATCTTCCAGAGCTGCTCACCATTTTGCGCATCCAGCACAGCGGGCTCGACCTTGGCAAGATCCTCGGACACTTCCTTGTGCTTAACGGTGATGTGCTCTTCAGCAACCTGTACAGTGTGCATGTGTGTGTGTACGTGTCCATGGAAGTCGAACAACAGCGAAGAAGGGTATACGCTTTGAATCCTCCATAACAACACAGCTCACTAACTCACGGCAGTTCAACATAAGGTGGAATGGCAGCATGCACACAGAGAGCAGCAGACAACAATGCTTGCGGTTGGAATGAAAAACTACAAAACACAAAATGCAATGCGCGGGTTCCATCTCTGCATGGTACTGCCATCACGCATCAGTCAATAGCTTGTTTTACCACCTACCCTCAGCTGCTCCTGGATTTCTTGTGATGCAGTCTTCTTCTTCTCAGCCTCCTGCTGATCTTTGACCTAGTAAAACAGTCAGACACAAACAAATACTATGCTTACATTCACATTCTACATTCATTGCATTATCAGACTCCTGCTGATCTTTGACCTAGTAAAACAGTCAGACACAAACAAATACTATGCTTACATTCACATTCTACATTCATTGCATTATCAGACTCCCCAAAAATTACCATAAAGCAGATACCTGATATTGTAGAAAGAAAGTTACTGTCAGTACTGGGATTTCAAAGTACTAGTGTACCAGACTGTCAGGTCGTTGCCATATAAACAAAAGAAGCAAGTCACAAAAAACGTTGAAGGAAAAAAACTACTCACCATCTGCTTGAGTTTCTGGTTGGCCAGAAGATTCTTCTCTTCCAGCTCCTGTTTCTTGACAGCCAGGCTGGATTTGAGTTCTGACACCTGTTGCTCTGTCTCGCGGATCTTATTCAGACCAACATTGAGATGCAGCTGCTGGTCTTCCAGATCACTACGCTTCTCTCCAAACAGCTTGACCTAAGTAAAGAGAACAGCGAGTGTCACAAGGAAGTAAAGTCAAAACACACCTCAATTGACTTACGGAACAGTAGAAGACAACCAGGTGACAAGGCAAATGTGGAACACAAATATTTCCCTGGTGGACAATTTATCACACACTTATAATATATAATTGACTAAGTTCTTGACTTCAACATCATGAAGGTCCATGTTTCAAAGACACCACTGTAAGATAAATAGCTGCTCAGGTAGTGAGCACCATCGTGACAACTTACATAGTGTTGGATAAAGTCCAAGTAATGTCTTGGTGTGACAGCCATGGTGTGGGCACCACGCTTGCTGAGGCGAGTGTTGGCTTGGTGCAGGGTCTGGTGGATGTAGACGAAAGCATTGCTGACTGCATCGCGATGAGTTGGTGGCATAGGCAGCTCATCCACAACGGCAGGGAAGAAGTCTGGACACCTCCACTGTTCGTTGACACACACACAGACACGCACACAGACACGCACACACATACACACCCACCCACACCCACACACGCACCCACATACACGCACCCACATACACGCACCCACACACATATGCATGTGTACAAAGCAAATAAACCAAGTTAGTTGTCAATTTACAACAGGCACACTTCCATGAAAGGCACCACAGCAGTCTGAAAAGCAAAACTCTGTATTATAGACAGAAAGAACACACACACAGCACGACCAGACAGGCAAAAGAACCTACACATGGTCAATGCTCCAACACTCACCTCGGATGACTCAAGGTCGACCTTCTGTGTGAACTCACGACCGACTTGGAAGAGAGCATGGGTAGACCAGTCTCCAAACCAATTCAGCACACATCTGCATGCAACAACAGAGCACACAGAACACATAGATTGCCATCGTGAGAATAAAGAATTCAATTCAAACAACAACAACAACAACAACAACAACAACAACAACAAGAGCAACAAGAGCAACAGCAGCGGCGGTGGCGGCGGCGGCAGCAGCAGCAACAACAAACACACACACACACAAAGGCGCACCTGTTGAAGAGAGCAGGTGATGTGGCGGCACGGTCCTTGAGACCTTCAGCAGACGGGTTCATGGTGAAGACAACATGCAAGTTGAGCATGATCTGGTTGGTGAACCACTTGTAGAGCTCCTCCGCACTGTCAAGCATCAGACCATCACGCTGAGAGCCTTCCTTACACTGAGTCATCAGCGTGGTGTACTCATCACCTTCAAATAGACCTGGTACCTATCAAGGATCAGAAGAAATATTGCAACACAATACAATACAACACAGATGACACACAGAACTACAGCACTTTGTAGATAAAATCCCGTCAAGTGTAAAAACAAAAAAAACAGAAGACAAGCAAAATCACACATCCTGATTTCAAGCCCGACATAATGCAAGCACTAATTCTTTCAGCACCAAAACTTCGCCAAGTTCACAAATTACCTCTCCGTTGGCGAGCAGAGTGTTCATTCGCTCCAAGAAACTCGAGTCCAACACATTGCTTTCATCCATAATGAAACAGATTTTCTCGCCCTAAGACATTGCAACACACAGAGAAAGAAGATCAATAGTGAAAAAAGAGAGGAGAGAAACAGTAGATGCCAAACACTAGTACAAGTACAGCCAATAACATCATTCCATTTCATGTGGACAGCACCAGTAACGCTACAGTTAAAGTACAGTTACAATTCCTCTGCTTACTCTGCATCCAGCTCTGCGCAGTACGTTACGCAGATCCTCATCGAAATCTTCAGCAGTGTACTTGTTGTGAACCTGGCAACACAGCAGAAGGCACACATAGCACAAATGATATGGCGCCAGCAACAGCTGTGTCTGTACATGTACGAGTATGACCCCAATTCTTTCTCGGCAGAGGCTAGATTGTACTGAAAATACCAGGAGCACCTTCTAAATCCCCACAAATTCCAGGCGGTGTGGACGGAATCAAATCAAAGAAAAGACGGCCGTGCCGAGAAATTTAGTTCGCTCAACACCAAAGGCCATCCAGCAAGCACTGTAACGTCGTGACATCAAAGAAATAACCAATCGAGCAATACTTATATGCACACAGCACTTGTTTCGCCCGTCTCTTCAGTGCTAAATTGAGCAATGCGTACATATCCGACAATGGCAATCATACAGTTTGTTTCTTCAAGACACCGCATGCTTGTACTACTCATAATAACACTGGGATGATGTATATGTTACTGGGGTTTAATCAGCTTATACAATCTACACGCTGGTGCATGCTAGTTATACGTACCTTAACTTGGAAGACCTGCAGACCGTTCATCCAGGCGACAAAGCGAGACAGGGTGGTCTTTCCTGCACCACTCACGCCGATGAGCAACAGATGGCCCTAGGGCACGAACGCGAGCACAAACACATAGACAGTTGCTGGAACAAAGCCTTACAGTCAACAGAATCAACACCCATGCCATGGTGGAACCATACACACCTCCTTTTTGATCACATACTAAACTAAACACAAACATGTACATCAACTGCAATCCTGTGCTCGTAGAACAAACCAGCAGTGACCCACCAGAACAGCAGAAAGCCCTGTACAAAGCAACATACCTGTGGCTGTCTGAAGATTCGGTCAATACGCAGCACATGGTCCAAGACTTCGTTGAACAAGACCAGAGGTACATCAAGCTCTTCCTCGTAGAATACCTGCACAGAACAAAAGGAAAGCCTCTAGATGTCAGTGCTGCAATGCAATGAATGGCTATGCCAAACGATTTGCCAGGATGCTATCATGACACAGTGCTTTAAATGATCACCACAGCCATTACAGTCATAACTACATGTACGTGTAACACAGTACGACACACGGAGGCATTAGTATCATTCCATGCCGTGATTCTACCACTAACCTTGAGGCGAGCCTTGGTGAAGTCACGCAGCTCCTCACGCTCGACCGGCTTGTAGTCCTTACTGAGCCAGTTGCTGAAGAGGATAGGCCTCTTGAGCGATGCATCGCGGTCAATACCTGGGAAGTACTGCAGGGCCACGGCGTTGATGTGTTCATCAGTCCACTTGCGCTCTTCATCGTACACCAACCTGGACAGGAATGTTGTACCAACAACCACGATTGCAAATGTCAGTTGTAAGTTAGAGAAGATACACTCACACTAGAAACAGGTCAGTTTTCCGTGAAGTACCAGCCACGCTAACATCGGCAGAAAGCATAAAACACCAGAATATTGGGAAGAGGTTTGAACAGACTTTCTTCTATACTCTACAACAATTTAACTCTTATTAAAAAGTAACCAGCAATTCTGTCCTGATCTATTACACACAACCACACATACTGACCTGTCTTGGAAGAGTCGAAGAGCCTCGTGGGCCCATATCCTGACAAGACCATCGAGCCCAAGAGTGTCCAGTGGGCGCAGCGCCTCTGCAATACCGCGGACCCATCGGGTCATCTCACGAGGGCTGTAGACATAGTGAGGCTGCATGTCCACGGTGAAGCGCTCCTGTGGCATGGGAAATACAACAATGGGCAAACAACAATGCTTCATTGCTTGGAGAGCAGCTTACAAACCAGTCAACTTCAACAGGCACAAGCCCTTTTATCTGCATACTTTCAGACCAAACACTCTACAAGGAAAACGACAATGACAGTCGGAAGGAAAGGAGACGACAAAAGTAGGTGTTCAATGAGTCGTACCTGTGATCGTATGTAGAACTCCACCATGGCATCGGTGAGAGGCTGGGCAAACTGGCGCAGGGTCGGCACAAGACGCAGCATAGCACGGTTGAATGTGCCGTAGATCTGAGTCAGTGACAGGCGGCCAGGGTAGTCGACGTACACCACGGGTACGTGACGTAAGAACCTGACCAAGAAAAACAACAACACAGCAGCAACAACAACACACACACACACACACACACACACACACACACACACACACACACAGGCCGTGCACGCACACACACATACACACACACACACACAGGCCCGTGCACGCACACACATACACACACACACACAAACACGCACACACACCACACACGGGCCCGTGCACAGAGGCATTGGTGAGCTAGAATGCTTCACTTGAACAAAGCATGCATCAGCAGTGGTCATGAGATTCTGCAGAATGAGCTCGACAGCAAACACAGAGGTCAAGGGAAGCACCATTATTATCATCTCACCTCTGACTGAGCGGTTTACGACCGGGGTCAGTGGGAGGGTTGCAGGCACCAACAAACTGAATGCGGTCCAAGCGGACAAACGTCTGATCGGAGGAGCGCCAGAAGCCGTTGTGCTCAACCATTTGTCGGATGAACGAGATAACACGCTGGGTGCCTACACAGAGAAGATGATCAGAATTATGAGTATTAAAGGAGCAACAAACGTCTCAACAAATACAAGTAAGGGATCGTCCACAATTATCGAACTTTTTCACAAAACGAAATAATTTCGTTATGGGGTGGGGGTTGACTAATTTCGTTTCAGAAAACATTGACGCATGTACATGTACATGGCCGTTGGAGCAATGACACACTTGCAACTTTTGTTGTACATGTATGTCAACATTTTTTACGTTCTGAGGGGGAGGGAGGGAGGGGTTGGGTCTAAACTAAAATAATTCGTTTGGTGAAAAATGTTCGATATTTACGGACGGCCCCTAATGACGTATGATGTATTTTAGCAACTGCAGCCATAACGTTAGTCTTATTAATTATCATCATCATCATCATCATCGGCGGCGGCACCATGCAGGCATTACGGCTTCAAGTCCTTACCATACTTGTCCATGTCAGGCAAGTTGATTTCGTCGCAGAAGAGGATGAGCCACTTGCCGAGCTGGATGGGCGATAGCACAACACCATTGGGTGTTCGCCGGTACTCGCAGTAATGGTCAAACGTTTTCAGCAGCAGCTCGGGTGTTGTAGCGCTGCTGAAGTTCAAGCTGACCACCTCCATGTCGGGCAGAGCACGCAGAGCGCTGAGCAGTGTCATGGTCTTGCCGGAGCCCGGCGGTCCGCACAGCACCAGAGGCTTGTGACCGGAGAGCCAGGTGTTGAGCAGGTTCTCGTGACGGATGGTGTCCACAGTGGGCACAACCACGTCCGGTGCGCCAACCTTGTGCGTCTCCACCTCGATCTGAGGCACACGGTTAACCCACGGCATCCATTCTCCCTGGACTGTGACCTGCCAAGGAAACAACAAACACACAAACAAGCCATGTCAGACCGGAAAAAAGAGCAGGCAACCTACCACTCGAAATGGTCAAAACATGGGTTGCTGTATACAACTATTTAATTAAACAACCATACACCTACACAGTAAAGGGAACAAAGTATAGGCCAATGAATGCCACCAATGGACATACACAGGACACCACACATCACAAGTCTCTCATGCAACATGAAACTCAACCACAAGGACAGAAAGCAGACTTCAAAACGATCCTTTGAATACAATCCCAAACTCAGATCATTTATTATAATTCTCACCTCATAGTCGACCATGCCCAGATTTCCGGACACGGAAGGCAGTTGGATGGTGGTAGCGCCGCGCAGGAATTCACCCAGTTCATTGCGAGTCTTCAGCTTGGAGTCTCCGCACAAGGACCAGATCAGACAGTAGAGGAGTCGCTTAGGCAGGTAGCTCTCAATCTGGTCGAGCTATGAGCAAAACACAGGATGAACGATACACAAGGCAATTGTTGTACCAGAGAATGAAACGACCAATGCAATGCACACTAGTATTAGAGAGCAAACTGCATACGATAGCAAAACTATGTGTCATGTAGACTAGTTAGTAGTTACCGTCCTTGGCAATGCCAATATAATTAAACTTCCCATCACACAGCAGCAGTGCTGTGCACTCATGCTGCTGCTCATCGTTCAAACCCCAAACTCAACTTACTGTCAACGGGAAGTCCGGATGAGTCTGATTGTAAGACAGGACGTCGCGGATAGCCTGGTGCACCATGGAGAAGAGAGAGCTCAGCGCGCGCAGACGTGTGTAGTCCATGATGTGCTCCTGAGCCTCGGCGTACTTGAGTGCTCGCATGACGATGCTGTCCGAAGCAAAGTGCGGTGCCAGTACGGTAGCACAGTCGCGCTGCACCTTCAGAGTTTCGCTGACGTCATCGCCAAGTGCAGCAGTAGCACGGGCAGCCGCTGCTGAACCACGCGAGTCCTCGTCATCGTCCAGCGCGTGGAAGCGCACTTGCTCCAGGAACTGCCAGCAGATCATTTCCGTGCTGAGGATGTCCTCACTGAACCATACCATACCGCAGCGGGATACGGTGGCCAGTGTGGCAAACTTCAGGTCCTGTACTTCAAACATGATTCTCACCTGAGCAAAAAACAGCCATCAGAAAAGCAATTCATCACTCATGCCACCCTGATCATAGCAATAGGTTTGAGATGCAGACACAGGAGACTGATGGCAAGAGTATGCTTGGTAAAGAAAGGCAAACAGCTAGATCATGCACACTAGTCTCAACAAGTACAATGCACATCGCTGGCAAGTAAAGATAACAGTCCCGGGACTTCACAACCCGAGCACTATGAACGGTGGACTGTGCAGTGTACCACGGCTCTGCCCTATTCATGGGGTTGGAATTCATTTGCCAGCAGCACTGTACTACTACTACTGACTGAGCTGTTGTTCAGGCCTGACTTACATTGGGTGGAATGCTGATACGCTCGCCATTGGGCAATGTAAGCAGCTTGTTGTCGTCAAGCACACTGTTCAGATTCTCAACCCACTCCGGATCAACATCGCCGTCAAAGATAATCCACTGCCTCTTGCTCATTTCACCACGCACATTGTCCGTAATCCTGGCAGAGAGCAAACGCAACCGTGAGCAGTTAGATATAATATATATAGCGGCGCAATGCAGTTTTGCTATACTGGCAGTACAGAGCCAACAGGCAACAGTCTGATCCACACGAAATCACATAGATGTTGGCATGTCTACTATTGTAACCGTACATTCCACGCACAATCCATATATGGGTAATCACTAGTGGCGTCACTTGCCCACATCTCCAAACATACACCTACTTTCTCAGGATGTGCGTGAAGAGACCGTCCGTCCACTCGCGAGTGTTGGGATCAAGGCTACCGTAGAGGTCTTCCTTGCTGATGGCCTGATGAGATCACACAGACGCATGCATTACACAAGCAACACAACAGAGAGCATCTCGTGTTAACAGATAGCACAGAAAGAAAATGCTCCAGGCGAGGACAACAAATGAATCTCATCACTGGTGAGTAGTCAATAATAATATTATAATAATACTGTCAAGTAGAAAAAAGAGAGTTCAGCGAATAGCAGATCACCGCAGATCATTCCATTCACCAGCAGCTTACCTTTGGATCGATGACGTACGAGACACCTTCAACACCTTCAAGCCTCTCCAGCGCCCTCAGCAGCACCGTCCAGGCGGCGGATTTTCCACTGCCACTGGGCCCGACCATCATCAGACCGTGGCTGAGCTGAGAGATCTGGTACAACTGCAGTACCTACAATACACAAAGACAGCATTATAATAGACAAAACAGGAAAAGTCAGAGCTGAGCACATGACTGTTGGTTACAACTTACAAGTTGAGGTTGGACAAGAACACACAAGACAAACAGTGTACAGGTGTTAATTCCATTGATTGACATACCTTGTCAACCCAGGCACTGCCCATCTCATCAGAATCACCATACATCAGGTGATAGTCCTTGCAGACGTTCTTCAGCTCGCGACGCAAGCCTGCCATCTCAGCGTTGGTGTACTTGATGCCGGGGAACACGTCAGACAGCAGACTGTAGAGCAGTGGAATGTCCTCAGCCACTAGCTTGGGCACCATGGTCTCACACACACTTTGAATCAGGATCTAGAACAAGAATTAGAAAGGATGCGCACCATGAGGACAACAACACCAACAGCCTTTGTCGATCCTACCACCCAGAAGCACAAGGAGGGATAAAGTTGCTGCAAAACACATTTCCAATGTGCACATCTCTCAGACATGTTACTAGCTGATAAAACTAACAAACGAAACAGAAGTACAGCCGAGAATATCGCTACAATGGTAGAGGGTGGACTCAACAGATCCACATTGCAGTGCATGTACTCTAAGAACACACCAGTCAATCCTCCTACCTCTTGCTCGTTCAGGCTGCGAGCAATGGTGGCCTCGTCGACCTTTTCACCACGTGCCTGTGTTTCCTCTCGCACGTGCTGAATACGGTCGCGCTTCACGTTACCGGCACTGACCAGTACGGACTTCAGAGCACGCAAACCAAAGTCATAATGTGACTGGCTGGACAACTGCTCGTCACAAAGTCTGTCGCAAACAAACGAGGACGGCAATTACAAAGCAATTAGGCAGCCTTCAAAGAAAAACAGCGAAAAGTCTCCACAACAGAAGGATCATAGCTACATCAAACATGAAATCCAATTATAATTCGTACATTCACTCCAAAACAAAAACCTCCGCAGGAAATTTCCGCTACATGAAAAAGGCAGAGTAGAAACATCGAGCGAAGAACAAGGAGGACACCGAGCAAAAAACAGAGAGAACGAGCGAAGAACAAAAGGAAGAGAACATGCCGACGTTGCTCACCTGAAGAATGGCACGATCTTGGAGGCGAGTTTCTCAGCAGTACGGAATCCCTGAGAGAACAACATGACCTGGGCAATGAGCTGCCGGTCTGGCTTGGTCATGGCCAAGCTACGGAACAGTTTCTTCAGATTGTCGGGCAAGTTGCTGCGGCCGGCATAGCCAGGGTTCATTGTGATGAAGATGGCCATGTCCGTGCTGACCTTCACTTGCTTACCAACCAGCTCAATGCAGATCGGAGAGTCGGCAGCACAAGCTGAAAGCGACACGGTGAAACAAAACATGCACAAACACACACACACACCAAAAATCATAGCAGTAACTGCTTATCGGAGCTGGTGAAGAGAGAACATACTACTTACACTGCAGAAGAAAGAAGAAAGAGCACATTCAGAGATGTGTCCTTTGAAACAATGCAACACAACTACATCTATCTGGTTCATATTTCACAGCAGTACACCACATACCATAGTTGGCATTGCGAGCTTTCTCCTTCAATGCCTCTTGGATGGTCTGGATTTGCTGGGACACAGCTGAGAGCATGCGCTCCTCAAGACGATTGAACTCGTCAAAGCATCCCCAGGCACCAACTTGGCAGAGACCAACAAAGATACGTCCCATAGCCTGAAAGCATCAATGAAAACAGACAAAAAGTCAACACAACGTTATGCCAGCCAGGTACCTACTTCTCCACCGTTGGTACACAGGCCGAACTGCAACAACCCATACAAAGAAGACTGCTCACTAGAATAGTGTATCATCAAGGATGGTGAATCTCTACTTAACGTACACGCAACATACCAAGAACCTGCCGCATGCACATGTAATACAACGCACGCATCACCCATACTTCTATGTAGAGCATACCTGGAAGTCAAACGTCTCGTCACAGTTGAAAACCAAGACAAAGCGACCCAGCTGGTTACCGAGAGCCTTGACGGACTCGGTCTTTCCGGTACCGGCAGGTCCGAATGGTGAACCACCAAGACGCTCTTCCAGCGCCTGGGTCATAGTCAAATAGCAGCGGTCAGTTAGAGGTGTCTGCACCAGCTTGTCAGTCACTCCAAGGTATTCAAAGCCATAGTTGAACTTGGCGTTGGCCATGTGGATGCTGAGCTGCTCCAGAACGTTGGTCTTAGCAGGGTCAAAGTAGAAGCGCATCTGCTGCAACCACTCAAAGTTGCGCGGTGAGTCCACGCCATTGTTGATGAGAAGACGGGTGACATCACGCTGATGCACAAGCTCAGTGATCTGAAGGAAAACAATGCAACAAACATAAGGTCAATGCCACATAGCACATAGCCTACAGCAGGAAAGGAGATCATTTCCAGTACACAACCCAGGAGCGACTACATGTACGTGAACATAAATGTACACAAAACAGGCACAAAGGAGGTTTCTAGAGGTTATCGCATAAATACCTGATCCCAGCCTAAAGCTTGTTACAATGGAGATTGTATGAAGTAAGGGAGATTGACAAAACTTAGTGATCTCAGGACATAACACAGACCAGCGAAGGTGCACTCACCAAGTGCTCCAGTTTCTTTCTGCGCAGCGGTGGCTGCTCGTGCAGCACAGAGTCAGCCAGCACCGACAGTGTGCCAGTGGTGATGGCCAGGTTGGCCTTCAGGCCTTCACCGGGGCTGCTGCCTTTCAGCGATGCCTCCACACCACTGGCCCAGGCAATCTGGGCTGCCAGCACCACAAGCTGAGCCTGTGAACATAAGCAGCAGGAGAAGGGCATAACCAAGATTGAAAGTCTACTAAACAACAGCCAACGCTACTCAATGGCAACAAAATTCAAAAAAGCATACGTCCATGCACCAGTAGTGAATAAGGCAAGTACACAACACCTGTGCTACTAGCTATTTATAATCACATCACACAATCAACTGTACCTCATAGCAATCGGCCCACTTCATGAACTCTGCCGCATCCAGCTGCTCCGATGTAAACTTGGCAATGCCTTCCACGGCATGGGCAAGGTGGGTGGCGAGCGTCACGCGCATCTCACGCTCAACAAGCGTCAGCCATTCGTTGATCTTGGGGTGTTGCTCAATAGACACGGGCGTCTCAAAGACAACCTAGCCAACGACATACGAGTAAGTACCACACACACAATCAGCAGAGCGACGTTAGAAAGAAACAATTCAAAAGTGGATGACTGAACTCTAGAACACAGCGTAAAATCCATGATTGACCCCAGCGCAAATCATAGGTGGTGAGAATGTGCTGGCGAGCAGTTGAACTGACCTCTTCACCCTCGCGTGACATCAGTCCCGTCACAATGGTCTCCTCAGCATTGAGAATGATGGCATTGACTCCAGCAAACATCTTGCGGAAATGTTTCTGAAGTCTGGCAAAGTTGCGACTGTTACCGATGATCTCCAGCAAGTCTTCATCACCGACAAAGTAGAAGCTGCACATGCAACAGGTCCAACAGCAAATCTTAGAAGCTAATACGGTGAGAACATAATATTATGATTGAGTCAAAGAAACGGAATACTAGTACTAGTACCCCTTCCTGTCCACCACCACCATGCAAAGAAGAAAAGTACTATGTTCACTGCTTGGATGAAGCCAGCTACAGACAATAGGTAAAGACATTACAACATAAGTACCGGTACCCAGCATTGTGGTGTCTTTCTAATGGGAAAGAGGTCCATGGAGCTATGAAGCCGAGACCTCTGGTCGGCTGAGCTTAATGGGCCCCACCACCACACTCCATTAATTACCCCAGTGTCTGGAGATAATGTGGATTTTGTAGAGAAAAAAGAAGAAGAAAAGAGCATAGCAAAGCGAGCCTTAACTATTTCTTTACCGAGGGAAAGAGGCACGCTCTCGCTCCAAGTACTCTCCAAGAGCCTTCTGGATCTTGTGTAGTAGCTCCTGTAGGCGCTCCAGTGAGCGTTGGCTACCAGGGATGTTGAGCACGTCCAGGACCAGCGGCGACTTTGCCACTTTCTTCATCAAGGCCAAGAACTCCGTGCTTAGACTGCAATGTCACAAAGAAAAGCAGCAAACAAAGAGACTACAAATTAGTAGGCTGACAAAGCATCACGCAATAGCCATGAGATTCAAAGACCAGAATCCAGCAGAAAATGAACAATTATCATGGCCCTATGTTATCCTACAGTAACCAGACACAAGGGAGAAGCCTTTTTTCAATCAATATTCTCTGACATGATCTACATGACAAGTCTCACCGATACAGGTTATTGTGTGAAGATCATGCACATATCAGCAAACGGCTTCATACCTGCCAAATCTTGATGTTTCAACTGGCAGCAAATGCTTGATATCAGCAGATCCGGAGAAAATACCATCTAGGTACACCCAACGACGTTGCACATCTTGCCACACCTCAAACAAGTTGTTGATGCGGTTTAGCTTGTCTTCCCAGGCCAGGGCATCCTCTTCAAACACCTGGTGAAGCAGACAAAGCAAAGTTGTGGATCAGCGCACAGCTCAGTACAATTATTACACCACAAAGCAGAACATGTTTCAGGATGCGCAGAGTCCACCCGCAGCCAGTTCATTATGTCAATCACCAACACTCGGTGTTACCAAGAATCACTTCAGCACCTTGAGCGGAAGGATGCAAAATGTGCATATGCAATGAAAACTAGCAGAGGAACACAAAGTGATCCAACAGCTACCAACAACTCTCCTACAACTGTAGGCCGACCTACCTTGAAGTAGGGTGACAACTTCATAGCCGACACACTGTTGATGTGCTCACGGACTTTGTTGAAGAGATCCTCTAGGCCGCGGATGACCTTGCACTTGTTCTGGTAGTTGATGAGATCAAGCTCGTAGAGCTGCCAGGCTTCTCGTACCTTACCAGATGAACACACAGTATGCATACACGACCATTAGTGGACATTGAATGGGCAATGAAAACGAGCACAACAGCAGGTGCTATCAACCACTGGGGATGCACGTACACAAGATGTTCAGTAAAAGATAACTAACAGGCATGCATTATTCCTTTCAAAAGAGCACCATGTCTGTGAAGTGTGGCGCCAGTCAACTAACACAGGGCCACCACCTACCTGCTTCAAGAACTCTTCCAGAGCCATTTCTCCTTGAGCGATCAGGACGATCTCCTTGACGACCGTCTCATTCCTGGCTAGATTGACGTCCCAGAGCTGTCCCAGTGTCAGATCGGACAGCACCCAGCTGACGCGCAGACGACGCATTAGCTGCTTCCAGTGGCGCTCCTTCAGTGCCTCAGACTTCAGGTCGACAATCATCATGTTGACCTGTATACGGGAAACAGTAATAAAAAGTATCAGCAAACATCCTCCAAAACTGTGCCAAGAGGTTACAACGACAAGCACTGAGCAAGTCACAAAGCATAACAAAACACAGAATAGAGTGCAGGACATACAATAGAATCACTTTGATAGTTCATGAACAACACCAGCAACTGCTAAACGGCAATAGCATTCGGGCGTTCATCCTGTACCTTCAGGTGTGACTTCAAAACACCCTGCACATGCTCGTACGATGCGTACTGGCGCAGGCGTGCTGGCAGGGCCTTGAGCTGGCTCACAAGCTCTTCCAAAGCACGGCGAATCTGCACAGACACAGGCAAATATATACCAGTCAGGTTAGAACAGGTTCGTTGAAGATCAAGCACTAAAATGATCGGTCCGCAGTCCGCACACTACAACACCAGTCAGTACCAATGAGAAAAGCACAAACAATATGACAAAACCCTAGCAAAATGTGTACTTGTGGTACGATGGTCATCAGGACTGCAGCCCATTAGTGGCATTACCTTGCGCGGCTGAATAGACAGCCACTGCTGCTCCTTCAGAGTCTCCAGCTGCTCCCAGATCTTGGCAAGCTCGGCCCAGACACCCTTCAGGTCTTGCAGCTCCTCGATAGCAATGTGCACACGCTCCTCGCTACCGGCAAGCAGACCTGAGACAATTGAACAATGGCAGCCATTGGTCATTAGAAGCAGGGAGAACACACACAAACATGGTCTACACAATGTATGCAATTCTACATGCCCAAGCTTGGAATAAACAGAGGAGTCAGAACAAATTCGAGGCTGTACATTAAAAACAGCTTTGTCTCTCCCTCTCTCTAACCTGGCTCGGAAAGTTCCAAAGCTTCTTTAGCCTTAGCCAAGTTGTCTCTCTCCTCCTTCAGACGGTTGAAGCGGCCTTCAAAGATGGAAAGAGTGCTCTGTGCCTGGTCGGGACGGATGTTGCCCTATGACACACAGCAGCAAGTAAAGATGCAATTAGTGTCGACTTGCCACAACCAATACAAGTAAATGGTTTTGACAAAGAGCTGAGTCTGCAGCACTCCAACACCCCCCCCCCCCCCCCCCCCACACACACACACAGCCGTAGCTAAACAAAGTCCCATTGCAGTCACATACAAACGAAACCAAGCTGAACAAGCACATGCATGCGAACACAGCTATTCTTGGTTCCATCTAACACACCACTAATGATAACCGACCTGGATGGGCTTGCCACGCTCCCAGTCAGCCAAAAGGTTGGTGGTACGCTCCTCAACTTGCTTGTCCTCAGACACGATCTTCATTTGCAGTTGAGCAAGCTGTATGTGATGCCAACAGCAACAAAAGACAACAAAAGAAAAAATAACACCAAAAGGACCTGAGGCATAAGAGGCAAACAGGCAACTTCCATACATGGAAACAATGAAGAGCCAACCCCCCCCCCCCCCCCCCCCCACAGACACGCACACTCAATGAAGACAATGGGTGTTCTCACTTCACTTTTTTCTTCATTTTGTGTTTCCTGCAAGGAGAAACTACAAATGCCAATTCAGCACAGCCCACCTGTCTCTGGATCTGGCCATCCTTCCTCGCCAAGATGTCATTGAAAGAGCTCCACTCTCCGTCCAGGTGATCGCAGTACAGCCAGGAGCTGGGGAACTGGAAACGTTGCCGTTCCAAGATCTTCTGACCACCGCGGTAAAGCTAACAAGAAATAAAACAAACCACCACACACGTAAATAAGCTGAGAAAAAGCTGTTACACATACTGGAAACGCAAGACCCACAGGATACACACCAATGACTGCTTCAGCGATAGGAAAGGAAGATTTCCATGTGGGGTGCTGGAAAAGACCGTTGAATGTAGCAATGCTCATCACAAAGAGAAGATTGCTAGTAATTGGCTACACTTACCTCGACGTTCTTCTCCCAGGTCTTTGTCTTGCGCTTCAGTGACTGCACAAAAGTAATGAAAGTGACCGAGTCACCAGTTGAGGCGCCTTCCACTGAGTGCTGCTCCAAGTCCGTGCGAGCCTGCGTAGTGGGGAAACAAACAAGAGACGTGGTTAGTAGGGCTACACGGATGTAATCTGAAAAGAAGAACAAGTCTTGCACCAGTGAAGATACACAGTACATTGTATATGGGAAAGTTCAACTGACAATGAAAAATCTGAGAACAGAAATACAATCATTGGGTGAGGTCTCTCTGGACGTCCACAAAACGTACAGATCTGACTGTGGCAAAACAGTGAAAACACAGTACTAAAGAAAGAACAGCATTGGTAGAAACATGTGTGTACCTTCGAGATCTGACCATGAAGTTCCTGGATGTCACCACCCAGCTTCTGTCCAAACTTGCTGAGGATGTCCTTGTGCCATGAGTCATACTTCAGGTTGACCTTTGATTGAACCTACAGCGAAAAGAGGCAAAGAAAGAAAAATGAGAACATTGCTCAATGGCTGCTTCACACCAGCTCAAATCCAAACAGGTCTCTTTTTGCAGGTGCAACTAACTGCTAATCGGTATGACTTGCACAATGGAACCCAGCAACACCATGATGCACAGCTATCTCCAGTTACGGATAGGCCGACTACATCTTTGGCTTAATCCATGGACTACTGATGTTCAGAATGGCATTGGACATAATTCATATACCGTAGTGTCGCGTATAAAAGCAGGTGCTTACGGCCGTATAAGCCGGGGTTCAAACCATGCTTCTATTCAAGTTACGCTTCTATTCAAAACATGCTTCTACGTCAAAATCTTCAGTCTACACTGTACAGTGCACATGGTCATGCATGTAGTGTGCACATACATGTACTTGCACGTATGCTTCTATTCAAATCGTGCTTCTATGTCACGGTGCTCTTCAAAAATCGGCTTCTATACGGGTCATGCTTTTATACGCGACACTACAGTACCTACTCACCAGGCGATAGTCGATGACGACGGGACCAAAGTGCTTGTTGGTTTCCGACGTGTCGAAAGTCGAGCGTGCCCGGCTGCAGTAACAGACACACACAACCCAGAAATAGAAGGAAGGATACAACATTTAAAACTCCTTTCCCTAAACTCGACAAAAATGAGCGATCTCCTTCAGTACACGTTACATTGCATTAGGCCCTCATCAGACTACGTACATAGAAAATCCAGTACAAAATCACATAAAACCTAAAAGGCAACATTTTTCCATGCCTGCATTCAGACTACACATTTTACATGCAATATACAGGCAACCTTTGACCCTACGAAATTGCGCAATGGGCCTGGGATGTGTGAAAGCAGCGGACAGTCGTACCCGGGTACAAAGTTCGTACAACTGCCTGGTGAAAGTACGATAAATGCAGGAAAGTTGCCTTGTACAAGGGTTCGCACCCTGCCTGAAAGGATTGGGCAGCTTTTTAGGCTTCCCGCCAGATTCTTGTTGTTGTCTTGGAAACTTCTATGTAAATGTGACTTATAGGCTGTTTTGTACCTAGTCTGAAGAGGGCCTTACTATGTGGTCCTCGCCAAGCTCATAGTATCTGAAGAAGACTTACCGGATGTCAACCAACAGTTGCTGCCACATAGCCAAGTCCTCGCCAAGAATACCATAGACGTGATTGGGTTCCATGTCCCATAGAGACTGGTACTGCAGCCAAACCTGAGACACACAGACACAGCACGTGCACACACACACACACAGACATGATATACAGGGTGAACTGGTGCTGTGTAAGAAGAGGCAAGCAGTCAGCCTATAGGTGGTGCAGCTACTGGTCATGTATTGACTGTATCTGGAGTACGGGAAGGGAATAAAAAAGGTATCATGGGCAGACCAGAACACAACATCCTCCAAAACATTAACTGCAAACCAATAGATCAGCTCAGAGAGTTTCGTGCACGTCTGGCAAACCACCAGAAATGAAATGATATAGTGCCAACATTTGAGAGACACTAGACTACAGGTGGTGTACAGTACCATTGGAATCAGTACCCCAGTTCAGCAGCACATACCTTCACATACGCTTCCACTTCACGGCACCTGGCTTCGATGGCCTCGTAAGCACCATGCAGCGGAGCTGTTCCTGCGGGCAGCCTGGCGAGCAAATTGCGATAGGTAGTGC